ATTTGGGGGTTAGGACTTCAACATCTTTTCGAAGGACACAAATCAACCCAGCCCTTTTTTTCAGACAAAGTCCGACGCTCAGAGGTTTACTGACTCTTCCAAAGCTGGGGAACAAACTGGGGACAGTTGGGGGTTGATGGAAACCCCTCTTGCCTTCAGCCTGCTTCCTCCCCCACCCCACAACTTCCCAGGCCGCCCCAGATCCTTCACCATCTTTCACCCTCTCTCCCATCCCCAGGTGACACAGGACAAGATCATCTGTCTGCCCAGTCACGGACCCCGGGAGAACTTATCAGAGGCCCCGTGCCGGCAACTGCTGCTGCGGGGGGTCTCCGAGCATGTGGGGGACCTCCAGGAGTTGAGCGGCCTCAGGAACAACCTGGACCTGCAGCAATACAGCTTCATTAACCAGCTCTGCTACGAGACGGCCCTCCACTGGTACGCCAAGTACTTCCCCTACCTGGTCGTCATCCACACGCTCAACTTCATGGTCTGCACCAGCTTCTGGTTCAAGTTCCCCGGCACCAGCTCCAAGATCGAGCACTTCATCTCTATCCTGGGCAAGTGTTTCGACTCTCCGTGGACCACGCGGGCCCTATCCGAGGTCTCCGGGGAGAACCACAAGGACCCTGCTGCCGCCGGGCGGGCAACGGTGACCATGGCAGCAGCGGCGGCAGGACCGGGGAAGGCAGGTGAGGGTGAGAAGGAGAAGATGCTGGCGGAGCCCGAGAAGGTGGTGACGGAGCCACCGGCTGTCACCCTGCTGGACAAAAAGGAGGGTGAGCAGGCCAAAGCCCTGTTTGAGAAGGTCAAGAAATTCCGTATGCACGTGGAAGAGGGGGACATCCTGTACACCATGTACATCCGGCAGACGGTGCTCAAGGTCTGCAAGTTCTTGGCCATCCTGGTCTACAACCTCGTCTACGTGGGGAAGATCAGCTTCCTGGTGGCCTGTACGGTGGACACCTCGGAGGTCACGGGCTATGCCAGCTTCTGCTGCAGCCACACCAAGGCCCACCTCTTCTCCAAGCTGGCTTTCTGCTACATCTGCTTCGTGTGCGTCTACGGGATCATCTGCTTCTACACACTCTTCTGGCTCTTCCACCGGCCCCTCAAGGAGTACTCCTTCCGGTCCGTGCGGGAGGAGACGGGCATGGGCGACATCCCCGACGTCAAGAACGACTTCGCCTTCATGCTGCACCTCATCGACCAGTACGACTCACTCTACTCCAAGCGCTTCGCTGTCTTCCTCTCCGAGGTCAGCGAGAGCCGCCTGAAGCAGCTCAACCTCAACCACGAGTGGACGACCGAGAAGCTGCGGCAGAAGCTGCAGCGCAACGCCTGCGGCCGGCTCGAGCTGGCCCTCTGCATGCTCCCGGGGCTGCCCGACACGGTCTTCGAGCTCAGCGAGGTGGAGGCCCTGCGGCTGGAGGCCATCTGTGACGTCACCTTCCCCCCAGGCCTCTCGCAGCTGGTGCACCTGCAGGAGATCAGCCTGCTCCACTCTCCGGCCAGGCTGCCCTTCTCCTCGCAGATCTTCCTGCGGGACCACCTGAAGGTCATCCGGGTCAAGTGCGAGGAGCTCCGAGAGGTGCCCCTCTGGGTGTTTGGGCTGCGCAGCCTGGAGGAGCTGCACCTGGAGGGGGTCTTCCCCCCGGAGCTGGCCCGGGCAGCGACCCTCGAGAGCCTCCGGGAGCTGAAGCAGCTGAAGGTGCTGTCTCTGCGGAGCAACGCCGGCAAAGTGCCCGCCAGCGTGACCGACGTGGCCGGTCACCTGCAGCGGCTCAGCCTGCACAACGACGGGGCCCGCCTGCTGGCACTGAACAGCCTCAAGAAGCTGGCGGTGCTTCGGGAGCTGGAGCTGGTGGCCTGCGGGCTGGAGCGCATCCCCCATGCCGTCTTCAGCCTGAGCGCACTACAGGAACTGGACCTCAAGGACAACCACCTGCGGTCCATCGAGGAGATCCTCAGCTTCCAGCACTGCCGCAAGCTGGTCACACTCCGGCTGTGGCACAACCAGATCGCCTATGTCCCCGAGCACGTACGGAAGCTCCGGGGCCTTGAGCAGCTCTATCTCAGCCACAACAAGCTGGAGACACTGCCCACCCAGCTCGGCATGTGCTCTGGCCTCCGCCTGCTGGACATCTCCCATAACGGGCTGCACTCCCTGCCGGCCGAGCTGGGCCTCCTCCAGAACCTGCAGCACCTGGCTGTCTCCTACAATTCCCTGGAGCTTCTGCCCGACGAGCTCTTCTTCTGCCGCAAGCTGCGGACGCTGCTCCTCGGCTACAACAACCTGAGCCAGCTCTCGCCCCAGGTGGGGGCCCTCGGGGCCCTCAGCCGCCTGGAGCTCAAGGGCAACCGGCTGGAGGCGCTGCCGGAAGAACTCGGCAACTGTGGGGGACTGAAGAAGTCGGGGCTCCTGGTGGAGGACACCCTTTACGAAGGGCTGCCGGCAGAGGTGCGGGACAGAATGGAGGTGGAGTGAAGCCAGGGAGGGGCAGGTTGCGGTAGAGGCCTTCCAGATGCTATCACCCTGGAATCTCTACTGTTATCTTCAAAGGAGGGGGCCAAGTGAGCCCAGGCCGGGACAGGAGGAGCAGACGTGCCAGGCTGGTGGAGCCCAAGGCAAGATCCTAGGATTGGTTTGCCTGGGAGGCTGTGGATCTAGGGTGGAACATCCTGGAGGGATTAACTCAGTCATAAGACTCTCAGAGCAAAACCACACCTGTGTCTTTGGCTAGCTTGCCTGCCCCCAGCCCTGGGCCAGAGCTGCTGCTCCCCCAACCCACTCCGAACATTCGGGCTCAATCAATGCCACATATGGGGGTGGGGCTCATCCCAATGGGATTTCAACCCTCTCTTCCTGACCAAAACAGCTTACATCTGGGGTTCTCTCCCAAGGAGGGGACACAGACGCAACGGACAAGCTCCCCCCTCCTCCACCTCCAACTTGGATGTTAATCCCCTATTTTTTTTTCATTTATTTATTTATTTTTTTGCGGTACGTGGGCCTCTCACTGTTGTGGCCTCTCCCGTTGCGGAGCACAGGCTCCGGACGCGCAGGCTCAGTGGCCATGGCTCACGGGCCCAGCCGCTCCGCGGCATGTGGGATCTTCCCGGACCGAGGCACGAACCCGTGTCCCCTGCATCGGCAGGCGGACTCCCAACCACTGCGCCACCAGGGAAGCCCAATCCCCTATTTATAAGTTGTTTGCTATGGACACCTGAACTCAGAAAAAATGGTTTTCACATTTGGCTAGGCATCAAAGTCAACATCAAAACAAAACATCCCAGGCCCCACCCCTGAAAGACTGACTCAGGAGCTTTGCCTGGAGGCCAGGAACTTGCCGGTAAATATAAGCATCCCAGGTAATTCTGACAAAGACAGTCCCAGGCCTGTGTGTTGGAAAATGCTGACCTACAGAGTCAGATATCTGGGTGTCTAGAGTAGGGATTCTGAACTTTTGTTTAGATCCCTAGATGCTTTGAGAAACCTGATGAAAGCTGGGCACCTCCTTCCTCAGGAAAATGCTCACGTACGTGAAAAGTTCTGCAAACAACTTGAGGCAATCAACAGATTCCCCCAGATCCCCTAGAGGGCTGTTTATGGACATCCTAAGGATCGGAGACCCCAGGTTAAGAACACCTGCTGTGGAGGGTACATTTTTCTGAAGACAGGCTGGGACTTTGTCTTTCACATGTTCCCTATGCGAGGGAATGTATATCAGTGGGTGCTTAATAAATGATACTAACTATGAGAACTAGAATCTTGATCCTTGTGTCCACTCCTGTGAGTCTAAGCCTTCGATTCCACCAGACCAAGTACAGGGAAGTGGCGACAGTCACATTCCAGAATCAAGGGTATCAGTGCATCCCGGAAGCAGAGGCAGAGAGAGACCTCAGCTAACCAGGAGAAATCAGGTGGCATCGTCTGCCTAGGTTTTTTCCTGGAGAACTGCTCTTCCTCTACCTTCCCTGTTAGTCTCCCGGCTCCACAGTTTTGGATCTGCTCCACCTGTAAGTTGTCACCAGAGGAGTCGCCACAAGCCTTCAACGCCCATCACAGTGTCCCTGTGCTGGAGCGGGCAGGGCACAGCCTGCCCAACCCTGACCTCCTGGGATCACCACCTCCATGGTGTCTGCAAAATGCGAGCCTCCTCCTGGCACCAGAGAGCAGAGGCAAGGTGCTCTCCAGGGGCCCCAGGGTTCCAGATGGGGACATTTTCCCAGCACTCTTCAGACCAGCTAAAGAAAATGTGTAGGCCGCGGAGGCGCCAGGTAGAGGCACCAAACCCCGGGGCCTATCTTCTGCGTTGTCCAGGAGCTGGGAGCAAATTCTGGGGGCAGGGCAGTTGAGGGAAGTCTTAAAATGTCCCACGCAAGTCTGATTTGGAACTCTCGGACCTTGACCTTGGCCCCCCTACCGGCCCCCCAGTCGCCGAGGGCAGGGGTCACGCCACTGGATTCCCAGGGTCCTGACAGTGGCCCGAGCCCTACACCGCCCATCCTACATGTCCTCGGCCAACCCTGAGCCTGCTGAAATGGAAAGGGCTTGCCCCGGGTGCCTAATTATGGTGAGGAGGCAGCAATTAAGCATAACAGGGATCCTAAGGAAGCACTGAGATGAGAAAGGCAGTTCCGAGAGGGAGTAGGTGCCAGCGATGGCCGGGCCGAGAAGAGAAAGAACGAGGCTGAGGACACACAACCATGGCGACCACCGGGGACAGCGACGGGGGGGGAAAAAAAAACAAAGTCACGAGTGCGCATGCGCAGCAGAGGCCACGGGCGTGACCTGGTCTCCTCCTCTGTACGCTTGCGCGCTGCTTTCTCCGCCCACCGCTGTAAGCGGAACGGTGAGTGGGTTTCCAGACAGCGCCTCTTGCCGGAGCGCTCGGGAATTCACGCATGCGCCTCACACTGAGAAGATTCGCACGTTGCCAGCAGCGAGCTCTAGGCGGCGTCATCCCTCCGGTCGGGACGAAGCACGCACGCGCGGAAGTTCGCAGGCGGGAAGGGCGGGTGTGCACCGCGAGCATGCGCCCTGCTGAGCGAGACGGCGGCTCGGCGGGGTCATCCGAGCGCAGGCGCAGTGCGGTGTTTGTCTGCGGGACTGACGGGCGGCCGGGCGGTGCGCGGCGGCGGCGGGGAAGATGGCGGCGTCCTCCCTGGAGCAGAAGCTGTCCCGCCTGGAAGCAAAGCTGAAGCAGGAGAACCGCGAGGCCCGGCGGAGGATCGACCTCAACCTGGATATCAGCCCCCAGCGGCCCAGGCCCAGTAAGCACGGCGGCGTGGGGGAGGGGGCGAGCGGGGCGGGGCGCGCGCCGCGGGAGGCCCCGCCCCCGCCTCCAGGCCCCGCCCCCGCTTCCGGGGCGCTCTAGCTCCTTCTCTCCGCCCCGCTCCTCGCTATCGGCCAGCGGTGAGAGGGTCACGGTGACCCGGGAGGCGTGGGGCCCGCGGGTTCCCGGGCAGCCCTTCCCCTGCCTGGGGGTTCCCCCTTAACGGGGCCTGGGAGCCTAGTTACCCGGCTCCAGGCGAGGCCCCCCACCTGATGACCCGCCCCCAATCACCGGGATCCTCGGAGCCTCTGTCACCTACCCTGAGCCTTGCTTCTCCTACTTCATGCGACCGTGACTACATCCAGGTCCTCCGCTAACATGTACACATCCCTTTTCACCAGCTGATTCTACTCCCGCTATCTCAGTGATTGTGTCAAGAGGTTCCCCCCGCCCCCGTTCCGCACCTGGGTCCGTGTCTGGGATCTTGTCATTGGGCTCAGCGGACTCCCTCCCACATACAGTTTACCCATATACACCAGGCCCCCTCATACTCCTCTGACTCGTTTCACTGTTGCCATCTTTCTGGCTCCTCCAGAAATAAACACGCAACTCCCAAGCGCGGCGACTTTGTCATTTAGAATCAAGTGACTTCCCCATTCTTACACACCCACACCCATCCAGCCCGGGGATACCTGAGGCCAGTGCGACTTTATCTAGGCATCCCAGGGCACGTACACCTCCTTTCTGGTCCCACAGTCCCCGTGTCTCCCTGGCGTCTTGTCATCTGGAGTCAAGAGCTACCCCCCAGCACGCACACCTGGCTCGGAATCACCGTGACCACATCTAGTCTCCTTGTCATTTCCTGCATGATCCTCTCCCCATATCCTTGAAGCTCAGAGGGAGTCAGATTTTTCCCCTTCCTACAGACCTGATGAACAGCAGCCCACACACATGCTTTCTGTTTTTGTTTTTGGACGCACCGCGCGGCATGTGGCATGTTAGTTCCCCCACCAAGGATCGAACCCGTGTCCCCTGCGTTGGAAGTGCAGTCTTAACCACTGGACCACCAGGGAATTCCCCTGCCCACACACCCATGCCTTCTGTGTCTCTCTTGACCCAGCAAATTGCTCTCCTTTTTATCCCCTCTGATATGACTCCTGTGGCTTATGTAGCTCCCTGTGGAGTCATCCTGACAGGACGGGGAAGACACTTCCTCATCTGGGTTCCCCCACCACTGCCTGCTCACCCAGCCTGGCGCCCCCATCCTTGTGTAGGGTCCACTCCCCATTCTCCCTTTCCTGACCTGGGCCCGTGTGGGTTTCTCACTGGATTGGGGGTGTGTGTGTGTGTCTCTTGGGGCCCAGAAAAAAACCCGAGGTGGCAGTGCTGGCACTGGACACTGCCTGGGGTAGGAAGCCCAGCCAGGACTGGAGGGTCCCCGCTGGTCTCTGCAGTGTTACTCCCCCTCCAACCCCAGTGTGGACAAGACAGGCCTAGGTACGGGGCCTGGGGTGCCTTGCAGGGTGGCTGTCCCAGATGGAGAGCGAGGCACGGTGAGACCCATGGCGAGCAGGCCGCGGGGAGCCCCCTCCAGGCGTCTGTGTCTGTGTCAGCTCCATCCCATCCTCCCAGTTCTCCCATCTCTGTCGGTTTCTACCCATCTCTGCAGTTTGGTACCGCGTGCCTCCCCCTCCTCTCCGTTATGATTTGATTTGATTTCTTTTCTTTTGGACAAATCGGTGGTTTCCGTTGTGATTTATCGTGGTGTTGTTTTTTTTTTTTTTTCTTCCTTTTCCCCATCCAGTTATTGTGATCACTCTAAGCCCTGCTCCTGCCCCGTCCCAACGAGCAGGTACCAGCCTTTTTATCATCGCTGCTTGGACCTCTGCACCATTGACCTAACCGCTACCCCGGCCGCAGAATGCCATCCCCCCCTTCCCCCTCCCACGTGCTCCGTGTGTGCGTGTGCGCGTGCGCATCCCCCCCTCTCACCCTCACTCTCTGTCCATCCACACCGTCCGCGTCCGGCCCACCCGGCCACTTCCTCTGTCTTCTCACCTCCTGCTCCTCCCTTCCTCTTGGGCTCAGGTTTGGACTCCCTGGAGGAGGAGACAGACTCCCTCACCGGCCGGGAGTCTGTCGCCTGCCAAGGGGGTCACGAGTGTCCGTGCGTGTGCCTGCAGACGTGTGCATGAGCGGGGGGAGGGAGAGCTGCTCATCCGCCTCAGCAGCCCAGTGGACCCGTGTCGCCCCCTGGGCTGAGCCATGCTAGGCTTGGACTGAGTCCCTGTCCTCTCAGGGCTGGCGCGCCCCAGGGGGTGGGGGACCCTGGGGGTTGGAGGGCAGTGAGCACTGAGGGCCTCCGGGCGGGAAGTGGAGGAGACCCCGGCGCCTTGGAGGGAAGGCCGGGTGGAACAGGGAGCAGGGTTGCAGTCGGGAAACCTCTGGAGAAGGTGGAATTTGAGCAAAGTCTCCTGGGAGGTGGGGGCAGCGCAGGGATGGAGTAGAGGAAGCAGCCCCCCTAGGGGCGGAGGGCAGGTGCCAGTGGGTCTGGGAGCAGACGGGTGTGGGACATGCCTGTGCGAAGGGCGGGGGTGCTGAGAGAGATGGGGTGGGGGTCTGGCCTCATTGGTCCTTGTGAGCAGGACTAGGTTGGGAAGTGTGTGTGTGTGCGCACGCGCGTGCGTGCGTGTCGGAAGGTGAGGGGCTCTGTGGCTCTGCTGGAGACCCTGTGGCATGTCGTCTGCCCATCTGCGTGGGTTTGTGCCATGCCCTGTGTGCGTGTGCCTACGTGTGTCGACTGACAGCCTGGTACGTGTGTGGCTCCTGATGGCCGCGTGCTCCCCACCCCCCACCCCCGCCCCGTGTCCTTTCTCGTTCTCTCTCATTCATTCTTCTCTCTCTCTCTTTCCCCTTCAGCCTCTCGCTCTCATTCTGCCCTTCTGACCTGCCGTGGGCCCGGTACCACCTCTGTGACTTCAGTTCTCAGGGTCTTTGTCTACCTCCCTCCACCCCACCTTAGCCACCCCGCACCGGCCCCGCTCACACGCCTACCGTGCGTCAGTTTGCGGGGCTGGCTGGAAGCCTCTGTCCCCCTACAGCCTTGGCCCCGGGTTCTGGGGCGGCCCTCAGAGGGCCCGGTGGACTGTGTAAGGGAGGGGACCGACAGGACACCACACCGAGAGGTGTGGGTAGGAGAGGGCTGTGGTCCTCACTCAGAAAGGGGGCCCTGGTGCCCCCAGGGAACCTGAACCTGACAGGGATCCAGGGTCCCGGTGCAGGGGGAGCTCGAGGGTCCTCGGGAGCCCTGGAGGTTGTCCAGCCAGAGAGGGAGGTATTACGACTGGGATTCTGGCCCCGGCAGAGCAGAGCAGCAGGGAGAGCACGGGAGGAGAGGCCTCCGGGCCAGTGGAGGGGACTGGGCCCGGCCACGTCCCCGGGGTCCCCAGAGCTCTTCCATCACTCCCGCCAGGCCCTCCTAGGACTGCAGGCCAGGCTCATAGACCTGCCCCTCGCTCTGGCTGCGGTCAGGGTTGCAGGCCAGCAAAGCGCCTGGGCACCAGGTGCTGAACATACCTGTCTCTACCCGTTGATCACTGGGCCCACGTCACCAGGTGCCTGGAGAACTGTGGGAGGAGAAGGTGGGCCATGCGGGAAGTGTGGAGAGAGGAGGGGGCGTCAGCCAAGGGCTAAGGAGAATGGCAGGCCCCCAGCTCCTGGCCTGCTCTCCAGGGGAAGGTGAACCTGGGAGGTGCTTGTAGCCTGCAGCCTCCTCAGCCAGGGGCTCCTCTTCTGGAGGCCAAGTGCCAGGGTCTCTGGGGTTCAGGGGTTCACTGGAGGGTCATCACCCTGGCCCCCACTCCCCACCCTGGGGCCTGCCCAGCCCGGAGGCTCCTAGCCCCTCAGGGAATCCGCTCTCCTTTCCCAGGCCCCTCCCCGGCCTGTCTCTGCAGCGCGTCCTCTGGGCAGCTGGGCCCCGAGTCTCGGCTCCCGGCTGTCTGTCTCCCGCCCTCCCGTCCCCTAATGCCGCCTGCCCGTCCTGGGGTGCCCGCTGCCTGCACGCTGCCTGCCCGCTGCCTGCCTGTAGCATGCCCGAGCTGTCCGCATGCAGGCTTCTGGAAAGAACCAAACTCGCCGCCTGGCCTGGCCCCTGGAGGGGCTGTGCCACCTGGATCCCCTCACCCCAGCCTGGGGTCCTGCCCCTGCCTTGTCGGCCCTAGCTCCGCAGGCCAGGCCGGGAGGCTCACCGATGAGCCCGCAGGCCAGAGGGCGGCCCTCCCTGACCCTGAAACAGAGTGCTGGGCGAGGCAGCTGGAAGCCTAGGTCCCTTGCCCACTCTTTCCCCAGGGTGGTCCAGCCAAGGTCAGGCTGCCCACAGCGCCAGAGCTCGGGCTGATCCCAGCGGGCATTCCTGCCTTGTGTGGTCCAGAGTGTGGGTGTGGTGGCCCTGGGCCTGCTTCCCTGGCGGAGGTGGGGAGGAAAGGGACACAGCGGGGAGGCTGCCTGCCCGAGGGACGGCATCCGCCTCTGGGCCTCCGTTTTCTGTCAGGGGAGGCTTGGGGATGAACCCTCAGCCTCTGGGGACCAGCCCACCGCAAGCCCTTCCAGGTCAGAGGAGTGGGCGGGGTGCGGGGTGGGAAAAGGCACCCTAGGAGTGGTCTGGGAGCGGGGAGCTCCTCCAGCCCAGCGGGGCAGGGGGCTGTGCCGCCCTACCTGAGGGATGCCAGGGAGGGTAAGATGAGGGTTCCAGGCCCTTGAGTTGGGGCCAGCTGGGAGCTAACCCCCTCCCCGCCCCTGGTTCTCACCACCCCAGCCCTGCAGCTCCCACTGGCCAACGATGGGGGCAGCCGCTCACCGTCCTCCGAGAGCTCCCCGCAGCACCCCACGCCCCCCGCACGGCCCCGCCACATGCTGGGGCTCCCGTCAACCTTGTTCACACCGCGCAGCATGGAGAGGTGAGCGGCTAGGGTGGCCGGTGGGAGGGCCGGGAGGTTGGGGCCGGGGCGGGGCGGGGCGCAGGGCAAGCCTCAGGGAGGAGCTGGTGAGCTCTGTGGGACCCTGTGTGTTAGGGGCTGGGGTGGCTTCAGGTTGGTCAGGACCCGCTCTCTGTCCCCTCAGCATCGAGATTGACCAGAAGCTGCAGGAGATCATGAAGCAGACGGGCTACCTGACCATTGGGGGCCAGGTACCGCCCTTCCCTCGGCCCCCCCAGGGAGGGTGGGCAGGACGCTGCTGGTAGGTCTGGGCTGGGGGTGGAGGGCAGAGGCCCGGTGGACCCCCAGCCCTGGCTTTCCTCGCCAGCGCTACCAGGCGGAAATCAACGACCTGGAGAACCTGGGGGAGATGGGCAGCGGCACCTGTGGCCAGGTGTGGAAGATGCGTTTCCGGAAGACGGGGCACGTCATCGCTGTCAAGGTGAGCCCGCCCCCGCCCCGGGTGGGCCCCGCCCCCCAGGCTCGGTGCTAAGGCCCCTGCTGTCCCGTGCAGCAAATGCGGCGCTCGGGGAACAAGGAAGAGAACAAGCGGATCCTCATGGACCTGGACGTGGTCCTCAAGAGCCACGATTGCCCCTACATCGTGCAGTGCTTCGGGACCTTCATCACCAACGTGAGCCGGCCGCCCGCCCCCCAAGCCTCCCGCGCCCCCCGCCCCTCCCCCAGGACCCGAGCCTGTCTGGGGTGGGCAGGAGGGTACAGCCACCCCGCCAAGCCGCCACCTGCTGTCCCCGCAGACGGACGTCTTCATTGCCATGGAGCTCATGGGCACGTGCGCCGAGAAGCTCAAGAAGCGGATGCAGGGCCCTATCCCTGAGCGGATCCTGGGCAAGATGACGGTGGCGGTGAGCAGCTGGGTGGGGCGCGGGCGGGCGGGTGGTCCCCAATCCCCCCCCCGCCCCACCAGGCCCCGTCCCTGCCATCACTGGTGCCCTCCTCTGCCCGCGCCGCAGATCGTGAAGGCACTCTACTACCTGAAGGAGAAGCACGGCGTGATCCACCGGGACGTCAAGCCCTCCAACATCCTGCTGGATGAGCGGGGCCAGATCAAGCTCTGCGACTTCGGCATCAGCGGCCGCCTCGTCGACTCCAAAGCCAAAACGCGGAGCGCGGGTTGCGCTGCCTACATGGCAGTAAGTGGGGCCCAGCAGCGCCCGGCGGGCGGGCGGGCATGAGGGGCGGTGCGCCCACCCCAGCCACAGGGGTACATCCACCCTCTCCTCCTTCCCGCCGGCAGCCTGAGCGCATCGACCCCCCGGACCCCACCAAGCCCGACTACGACATCCGGGCCGACGTGTGGAGCCTGGGCATCTCCTTGGTGAGTTGGGGTCCCTGCTCTCCGAGGCCAGGGGTGGGGTCTTCTCGGGGTACGGAGGCAGGTGGCGGGAAAGGGCAGGATCCTGTCCTTGGCCGGCCCAGCCCTGCCCGTCTCTCTCCCAGGTGGAGCTGGCGACGGGACAGTTTCCCTACAAGAACTGCAAGACGGACTTTGAGGTCCTCACCAAAGTCCTACAGGAAGAACCCCCGCTCCTGCCCGGTCACATGGGCTTCTCGGGGGACTTTCAGTCCTTCGTCAAAGACTGGTGAGGGGACTTGCCTGGTGGCACAGCGGTTAAGACTCCACGCTCCCGATGCAGGGGGCCCGGGCTCAATCCCTGGTCAGGGAACTAGATCCCACATGCATGCCGCAACTAAGAGTTAAAGACTGGTGAGGAGCCCCGCCCCCGCCCTCCACTCTGGAAGGCAGGGTGAGGTCAGATGTGGCCCTGCACCCAGGCCACTGGGGAGGGGAGAGGGGCCCCAGGATGGTGTGGGGGCTGGAGCCCGAGCCCCGGGAGCTAGGAGTTGGGTTTGGACTCAGCCTGAGGGGACACCTGGCCTCAGGGGTATTTGGCAGGGTGGCCCTCGGGCTTCACCTTGGGGGAGCTGTGAACGAGCAGAGGCGCCCCAGGGCTAAGGGCTCTGAGTGTCCTGCACCAACTGGCAAGAGTAGCGCACGCGGGACGTCCACATTGGAGCCTCCCGTGGGGGAGCCCACCCACCCCTCCCATGGGCGTCTCACGGCCCACATTGGGCTTCTGTCACGGTGGGGGGGCCCAAGCACAGGCCCGGGAGGGTGCGGGCTTCTGCCCACAGATTTTGCAGACCCGACAACTCAGCCACGAGGGCGGCCAGGCCTCTCCTACCTGCTCTCACTTCTCTTCCTTTCCTCTTCTCCCTCCAGCCTTACTAAAGATCACAGGAAGAGACCAAAGTATAATAAGCTACTTGTGAGTACCCGGGGCCCTCCCCAGCCCCCATCCTAAGCCCCCCGCCACACTGGGCGCCGGGCCTGAGCAAGGCCAGCAGGGAAGACGCCCTCGCCCTAAGTGCCCTGCCTTGGGCCCCACAGGAACACAGCTTCATCAAGCGCTACGAGACGCTGGAGGTGGACGTGGCGTCCTGGTTCAAGGATGTCATGGCGAAGACCGAGTCGCCGCGGGCGAGCGGGGTCCTGAGCCAGCATCACCTGCCCTTCTTCAGGTAGCCGCACAGCGGCGGCCAGCCTACTGGGGGCCGGGGGCGTGGCCACCGGCCTCCCCTTCCCCACCCGGCCACCCAGCTGCCCGCCAGGGGAGCCCTGGGACCTGGACGGCCGCCGAGGGCTGAGGACAGAAAGTAGGGGGCGCCAACCCACCCCTGACTCCCTGCCCACCAGCCATGGACAGATGGGCCCACCAGGCCCCAGCCCTTCCCGTCCTAGGATCAGCCGGCTGTGCGCATCCCCTCCGACAGACACTGTGAACGGAAGACAGCAGGCCGCGAGCAGACTCGCTATTTATTCAGTTGTAACCTCTGGGCTGGGGCGGCCCCCAGGGGCCGGGAGAGAGCCGCCCGTCCTGTCCCCTCCCCTCCACACCGCGCTGTCCCACCGCCGCCTTGCACGCACATGCACCCTGGCTCCATCTCCCTCTCTCTGTCCCCTCCCTCTCTACCTCTCTGGCTTTCCCTGTCTCCCTCCCTGCTTCTGCCTCTCTCCTGGCCCAGGCCCTGCCACCCCCGGCGGCACCCCTGGGTCCGTTTAGGTCTCCGGCAAGCCATGAGTCAGTTGGCTGGCGTCCTCGCCCTGGGCAGGCGGGCTGGACGTTGTGACTGCAGCCAGACCCGGGCTGGTCTCTCTCTTTCTCTTTTTGATCTCAGGGGGTCCTTTTTGGAGTTTATCGTATTTTATTGTACTTGGTGGGGTGTTTGGGGGGTGGGGGGAGGAGAAGAGCTTGTTCTCATGGGGTTTGTCGGTACCTTCAGAAACTTTTACCAAAGTCATGTTTAGCTGCTTGTGGTGGCAGCCCCCCCGATGGCCCACGGGTGCTGGGGGGCTGGGGGCCGAGCCTTGGGGGCCTGGGCCACCCCGCCGGGGAGAGACTAGTCCCAAAGGTGGGCTCTGGGTGGGGGGGCGGGGTGCTCCTCCCTCGGGGCTGGAGACTGGCCACAGCTTGTAGGGGTGAGTTGAGGACCTCGGGGGGTGTGGAGGGAGCCCAAGGGGCCGTGGCCACACAGGGTGGCCTTCAGGGAAGGCAGGCGTGGGGCATGGTGGAGGGCAGCAGGTGCCGGTGAGGCAGAGGCGGAGGAGGGAATGGGTGACAGGAGCGGGGGCCATGGGGCCCGGGGAGACAGGGATTGAGGGCACGTGGAGTGGACGTGGGGGGTCTGAGGATGTGTGACAGGGACAGAGGTGGGGCAGGCCGAGGGCTGGGCGTGTGGAGGCAGTCACGCCCTCGTAGTGGCCCTGAGCGCCCCTCGACTCACCCAGAGCTGGCCAGTCCCCAGCCCACACCGAGGCCGGGCCCTGGGGAGCAGCGAGAGCAGGGGGAGGGGGTGTGCTTCCTTTTTGTTGGTGATGCATGCAAATCAAGTGGACGACGAAATAACAACAACAACAAAAGGAAACTCCAGAGAAGCCACAAAAGCAACCAGCGCCAAAGGCAAGGAAGCCCGCTGGGTGTAGCTGAAGCGATCTAGGCTAGGCGTCACTGTACCCTCCATCCAGCTCACCGACTGTAGTTACTACTAGGATAGTCACAAAACGCCGCATGTTTTAAAAAGTACTCGAAGTCATCTTTTCTCTGCCCCCCACCCCGGGGGTGGCCACCTTCTTCCGCTCCAATCCCCTTTGTGAGGGGAGGGGGGCAGGGTGCGGGGCCAGTAGGCCTGGCTCCCGCCCTCCCTCATGGGCCCCAGCCACAGGGGCCTTTGTGGGTAGCCGGGAAGGTCGCGTGGCTGGCCCCAAGGGCCAGCTGCCTGAGTTTATTTTTATTTAACTTTATTTTCTGTTTTGTGAGTGTGTGTCGGCCCGTTTCCCCTCCCCGCCTTCAGTGTTAAATGGGAGCCTCTCCTTCCCCCCTACCTTTCCCATGTCTCCCCCCCTCCACCCAGTCACCAGTCACCAGCCATCCCTCTCCATCAGGCAGAGGGTGAAGTGGGCAGGTGGGGGCCTGGGGCGGCCTGGGCCCGGCCCATGGTCTACAACCCCTTCTCAGGCTGCCAGTACTGCCCCGTCCCTTTTTAAAACGAAACGCCCTCGTTTGTAAATCCTTAGACGCTTGAGAATAAAACCCCTCCCTTTTCTTCTGCGGTGTCTGTGGTGTGTGTTGTGAGCCTGGCAGGGCCTGGCAGTGAGGTGGGGAAAGGGGCCAGGGAAGGGGTCGTGAGCCCTGACCTTGGGGCTTGGGGGCTGGTGGATGGGGCCTCTGCAGCGAAGAGAGACAGGCAGGGCTGGGGCCTGGGGGGGAGGTGTTTGTAGTGACTAGCCCCATATCTAATGGCCATTGTGAGGGACCTCCCCCCAGCCTGATAGCTACGGGTCTGGCCAGAGAGCCCTTAATCCCCAGCAGGCCTTGGCCGTGGGCTCTGATGTCGGCCCATCAGTGCACCGCCCCCGCTCCTTGCCTCCCCAAATGGCCCCCCAGCCAAGGCCAGAGCCGCCTGCCCGCCTGCCTGGCCCAGTGCTGCCTCAGCCGGTCCAGCATGCTGGGCACCGCTATCCTGCTGCTGGCCCTGCTCCCAGGGATGACCACCTTGCCCAGCGAGTCAGCTGGTATGTACAGGCAAGGGGACGTGGCCCAGCACACCCCAACTCCCGTGTTACTCTTTCTCAGTGCACCCTCTCATCCACCCCGCCTGGGGGAACGGGGGTGGGTGGGAGGTGGGGTCTGCACCGTCCCCCGTTTTCCAGGTTCTCTGGGATCCCCAACTTCTTCGAAGTCCCAGCAGCCAGGTGAGACCAAGGGCTGTGGGAGGGGAGCAGTCTGCGCCAATGCTTTTAGGGAGTGTCTGTGCTGGTAATTCTGGACATTTGAGAACATCCTTTGATGAGGACCCCAGCTGAGCGCCTCCTTAAGGCAGAGGTCTTTGTCAGTGTGGTGCATGTGTGTGTGATCACACACCCCAGTGGAGGCTCCCCTGTGCCTCTACCCTTTGCCGATGCTGCCCTCAGCCTGCGAGTGAGTGAGGAACACTGACAAAGGGAAAAGGCCCAGACCCGTGTGGCCGGGCTGGGCCTCCACGATGCCCAAAGGGCTTGGGGGAGAGCGCCTTGCTATTCTTCCCTCCCCTTAGAAAGGCAAGAATGGGGCCAGCACCCTCCCCCCAAACGGCCCTGCTGTGACCCCAGAGGAGCCCCTGGTCCTCGGTGGATGAGCGGGGGGTTCAGACTCCAGAAGGGGAGGGCCTTTGACCTCACCCAGGCTGACCCTCCACCATCAGGTGCCCCTCGACCCCTTCCGGGCCAGGGATTCCCTCGCTCACTGGGGATGGTGAAGTAGAGGTCTGGGAAGGGGGCTCCTCCCCAGGAAGGCGCAGCTTTGCGCCCAGGCTCAGGGGCTGGGCTGGGATGTCCCCCAGGTCTCCAGCGGGTACATCCCAGCTGCTTTACGGCTGGCGGTGGGAAGCGCGGAGCCGAGCGCGGGTGAATCCTCCACCGCAACTGCATCCATTTTCCAAAGTAGGCAGTGGAGGCGAGGTTGGCTCACTTGCCAAGGGGGCCTAAGGGACAGCGCATCCTCCTTCCCCTGTGCCACCCTTTCTCCCTGCCAGTGTCCCCGTTCCGCGCGGCGCCAGGGCCCAGGCTGCGCCGACCCCTTTTCAGTCTGGAGCTGTCGGACGCGGAGGACGCCTTCCCGCGCCGCGCGGGGCCGTTGGAGGTCCCGGCTGACAGCCGCGTGTTCGTGCAGGTACGGGCGCGGGGCTCACCGAGGCCGGGTGGCAGCCGGTGGGGGCAGCCAACCCTGACCGCGACCCCGTCCCCCAGGCGGCCCTGGCCCGTCCCTCCCCGCGCTGGGGCATGGCCCTGCACCGCTGCTGGGTGACACCATCCTCACGCCAGACCCCGGGCCCCGCCCTGGTGCTGCTGCGCGGGGGCTGTTCCGCCGACTCCTCGGTCACCTTCCCGCCACCGCGGCCGCTCCCAGGTGCCGCTCGCCCCGCGCGCTTCAGCTTCCGCCTGCGCCCGGTCTTCAACGCCTCTGTGCAGTTCCTGCACTGCCAGCTGAGCCGCTGCCGCCGCCTCCGGGGAGCCCGCCAGACGCCTGCGCCTCTGACGCTGTCTCCACCGTCGCCGGTGCTCGGGCACGGGGCGGGGAATCTGGGCGCCCGGGCCCGTCGGGGCTGGGCACAAGAGCCTCTGGCATCTGAGGGAGAAGCCTCTTAGGGTTTGGGGATCTGAGGGTCTGGGAGCTTTTGGACCTGGGGGCGGAGGTACCTCGAAACTGGGAGTAGGCACTGGGTCTCAGGCTGAGGTTGGGCGCAGGGGCGTCCGAAGGGGCCGAATTTCCAGGGGTCTAGTATTGCGACACCTGGTTGCAATATAGTGCTGGACGCTTAGATCTCTTGGGAGCCCTGGGGACCCGCCCCTGGAGCCGGGGCCCTGACGTCCCCGCCTCTTGCCTCCCCCTCCTCCCAGTGTCTGCCTCGGGATGAGGCGTGCGCGGGCGCCGGCAGTGGCCGCGATGAGAGTCTGGGTGCCGACAGCCCTCACCTGCACACGCTGACGCAGCCCATCGTGGTCACGGTGCCGCGGCTGCCCCCCAGTGAGCACGCAGTAGTCCTCAGCGGGGCTCTCTGGGGTCGGGAAGGGGGATGGGGAGGACATCTGAGGCATGAGCCCAGTCTCTGCGTTGTACTCCTCACAGGGCCACCCAAGGGCGTCCCCGGCAGAGCCGTGCGACCCGAGCCTCCCGCGCCGGCCCCGGGGGTCCTGGAGCCCGCGCCGGTGGTAGCACTTGTGTTGGCCGCCTTCGTGCTGGGCGCCGCTCTGGCCGCCGGGCTCGGCCTCGTCTGCGCTCACTCAGGTACCAACCTGCGTCCGCCGGGATCTCCGCCTGGCCCCCAGCCTATTCCCACGCGTCCGGACCCCTGGTCGCGGCGATCCCAGCCTGCTCGGGCCTGACCATCCCTAGACCTGCTTCCGCTACGCCTGCAGCAGCCCCCCAGGGGGCGCCCTTGCCCCGGCCCAGCGCGCAGCAACCCCTACTCCTCAGACTGCCTTTCCTCTCCAGCGCCCCTGCCCCCCGGCCCGCCCCCGACAGCCTCGCCCAGCGGCCCCCCGCCCAGCAGGCCCCAGTGAGGCAGGTAAGTGTTGGGGGGAGGGAAGAGGGGGAGTGTAACCTGGGGCCGGTAGGACGGATGGAGGAGGGAGGTGATAATGACTCTTCATAGCGCGTTCTCTCTGCCAGGCGGAGTACCAAATGTTTTACGCATATTAATCCTTGTAACAAGCTTCAGGTAGATACTCCTATAATCCCCATAATAGATATTTAAAAATGAGACACTCTCTGAAATTAACTTGCCAAAGATCACAAAATTTGGTGGAGCTGGGATTAGAAATCACGTAGTGGGTGACTCGCGGCCGACTGAGGGCTTAGTGTCGTAAGAAAGGACCTCAACACCTCAGACAGGCACACTAGGCAAGGAGAATTCGGGTTTCAGACCTAGCACCCACCCTCGCCCCGGCACACAGACTGATGGGGCGGCCAATGATCGGTTGGGAAGGGGGTGACCTGCCGTAGCGTCCTCTACCCTGCTCAGCCTGAGTCGCCCCTCTCCAGAGATAGCGCGCCCCCAACAGGGTCCAGAGACATACCAGCCACAGCCTTGGACCAGGCCCGCCAGGACCTGAGACTCGATGGGACTAAGATCCCTGCGCCCCGCGCCCCCTCTTGCTCCTCCTCCCACCCTCCCACCTGGGCTCAGAATAAACATCTGGCCTGAACTGCAGCGTTCTGAAGTCTGCGTGCGCGCGTGGCGCGGGGGTGGGGATTCCGGGGTGGAAAAGGTCCAGACTGGAGGGGTGGAGCTCTGGGGCGGGGCTCATACGCCCTTATATATACGTGTGCGGTTACCGCCCAGGGGAGCCCCAAGGGCATTTTGTCCCAGACAAAAAAGGGACACCCAACCCCACCAGCTTAAATTTAAAAATAAGCCTCGCCTCCTTCTCCACCCCTGCACCGCCCACCTGCCTTCTCAACCCCAGGATTTCTCCGCTCTCCACTCCCACCGCCCGGACCCTGCCCTCGCTAGGGCCTCGAGCTCAGGCCTCTGCTCCAGTCTCCTCTCCGTCTAGCCTAAAGGTCCTTAAATCCCTCCTGCCCGAGCTCCTCCCTCCCCAGAGCATAGACAAGGGGATGACTATTAGCTCCATTTTACGGTTGAGGAAACTGAGGTTCGGCAAGGCCAAATCACTTGCTCACTAGTCAGAGCTGGCCGACCCCACAGCCCAGGCTCTTGGCTACAAAGCACATAATAGGAGTTTCACAAGACGTAGTTCTGGAAGGGAGGGAGGGCACGAGATCTAAGAACTTGGCTCCAGTTCACGAATGAGATAGAATGCGGGCGGGGGGTCTCGTTCGCCCCCGCCTCAGTTAGACGCCAGTCTCCCCATTACTTCCCGGGGAAGCAGTTCCCTTCGGCCCGCAAACGCAGAGCCACGCCCCCATCTACTTCTGCCTCCGCGCGGGGCCTTTTGGCCCCAGCGGCCGCCGTAACCCCGCCCACTAGGGAAACGGCCCCGGAACGACGACACCGCCCTCACCCGGCTCACCGGCATGAAGCCCCCGCAGCGGCGGCGAGCGGCCCCGGCGCGCTATCTGGGTGAGGTGACCGGCCCCGCGGCCTGGAGCGCCCGCGAGAAGCGGCAGCTGTTACGACTACTGCAGGCGCGACGGGGCAAGCCGGAGCCGGACGCCGCCGAGCTGGCCCGGCAGCTGTCGGGCCGGAGCGAGGTCGAGGTGAGAGGGGTCTCGGGATGGGAGCGAGGCTGGAGGTGGGGCTAGGATGTGTTCGGGGCTGGCGGAGGGGCGGGCCCTGGGAGTTGGCGGGACGAGAGTGAGGCTGGGGGCGGGGCCTTGGAGTGGGCGGGTCGAGGGTGAGGCGGGGGCGAGGTTGAGGAACCGGAAGAACGCCGGAGGAGGCGGGATTAGTGCAAGGCTGGGCCTTGTGTGCCTGCGAGAAGCTGAGGGCGGGGCGAGGGCGGAACATAGCCGAGAGGCGGGGCGAGGAGGAGGCAGTGCTGCGGCAGGCTGAGGGGCGGGGCGAAGCCAAAATTTAGGAGCGGGGCGAACTCTTGAGTTAGAGCGGAGGCCCCGGACTGGGTGGAAGGCGCCGAGGGACTGGGCGGGAATGAGGTTGAAGTGAGTCAGGAAATGGGGCGGAGTGGACGAAGCGGGCAGGTGACTAGGATAGTACTTAGCAAAGGGTGGGCCCTGGCTGCGGGGAGGAGCCAGAACCAGCCAGGGCCTTACATCTTTGTCAGGTAGCTGGTCACACCTGGGGCCTTGGCCCAAGACCCCTGGGCAGAGTCCCTATGACCCTTAACTCCGGGCCAGCGGGAGGCTAGGGAGCAGTGGCCGGCCCTGGAGCAGGCAGTGGACTGCCTAGCCCTGGGCTTCTAGAAGGTCCATTTGGCCTCATCCTCTCACTTCCCCAGATCCAGAACTTTCTCCGGCAGCTCAAGGGCCGAGTGCTCCGAAAGGCCACTCGGAGGATGCATCCAGGTGGCCCACAGGGTCCCAGGCGCCGGGAAACACAGACCCCGGCCCCCATCGAGGTGAGGCGGGGCGAGGCTCCCCAAGGCCGGCCCCTGGAGGATGAGGTGGGAGTTGGGGGGATAACCTGGTCAGGGGAGCCGCAGGAGGGGTAGGGCTTGGGGGACTCCTGAAGGTTGATCCGTGAGCACCTTCTGGTTACTCCACCCAGGTGTGGATGGATCTGGCTGAGAAGATAACAGGCCCGCTGGAGGAGGCCCTGACCGTGGCTTTCTCACAGGTACAGCCATCTGCCAGGAAGGATGGGGGTATCCCGGGGACGGGGTCATATATGTGAGTCTCATTAAGCTGGACCTGGTTCCTGGGTCCCTTCCTCTTGCCAGCTCTGTGACTCTGGTCCGTCACCGGACACCCTAGCCTCAGTGTCCGCCCTTCTGAGGCCCTCTGCTGAATGTGACGCCTTCCTCAGGGTGGCAGGGAGGATTTGGAGGTGGAAGGCTGTCTCCTGCAGGGCAGGGGAGTAGCCCACGGGGACACTTCTGCCTTTCCTTGCCTGATCTCTCTGCCTGCCAGGTGCTCACCATCGCAGCCACGGAGCCCATCAGCCTCCTGTACTCCCAGCCCCCCAAGCCCACGCAGGCTCGTGGAAAGCTACTGCTCCTCAGCGCCCCTGGAAGGCAGGAGGACCTGGGCCCTGAGGCTCCTGGCCCCGCCCCCAAGACACAAGGCCCTGCCCCTGAGGCATCCTCTGAGTCCCTGGCTGGCCCGTCCACTGAGGAAGACTTTTCTGTGGACTTCGAGAAGATCTACAAGTACCTGTCGTCCATCTCCCGCGGCGGCCAAGGCCCCGAGCTTTCCCCAGCTGGTGAGAAGGGAGGGGCTGACGATCTGGGGGTGGGAGTCTCCGGCGGCAAGCCCCGCCCTTCCCTCACCCGTCCCCTTTCCATCCATCACCAGAGTCAGCTGTGGTCCTTGACCTGCTCATGGCACTTCCTGAGGAGTTGTCCCGCCTGCCCTGCGCTGCCCTGGTTGAACATATGTCAGATACGTACCTACGCCTGATGGCCCCCCAGCCCGACCCTGCCAGTGGGGGCCTGGGGTCTGGGGCTGAGGATGACGGGACAGGTTCCAGGGGGCAAGAGGAGGCTGGCCAGGCCACTCCTCAGGCCCCCGAGAATGCTGGGCCCAGCGAACCGATATCCACTTGGCAAGCAGCTGGGATCTGCCCCCTGAACCCATTCCTGGTACCCCTGGAGCTTCTGGGCCAGGTGGCCACCCCTGCAAGGTGAGGGGCCTGGCACCTCACCAGACACACCAGACATCGGTGAGCCCCCAGGCCCTCAGTCCTGCTTGGGCTGGCACTGGGTTGTCACTGAGGATCTTGCCACGGCGGAAGGTCCCTGATGCAGTGTGCAGTACAGGTCGCCTTTAAGTTGCTCGATACAGCGTGGGTCTCAGAAATGGAAGCACAGGGAATTCCCTGGTGATCCAGTGGTTGGACTACACGCTCTCCCTGCCGAGCGCTCGTGTTCAATCCCTGGTTGGGGAACTAAAAACCCACAAGCTGTACAGCACAGCCAAAAAAACCCCAAAAACCGAAGCAAAGTTGTACAGGGTTTCAGCCATAGAACTGGGGTGGGGGGGTTCCAGCCAGATGGCTGGGCTAAAATCACCCTCAAATATTCCCCCCACTGGTTTCTCATCCCTTCTGAAGTCCTGTGTCCGGTGTCCTGTAACTGTGAATAAAGTTCTGGTCTATACCCCTGGCTGTCTTTCTCCTGTGAGTGAAAGGTGGGAGGGGGCCTAGAATCAGAGGTAGGGAGCCATAGCTTGGAGTCCTGGGGACGGAGCGGGGACATGCCAGGGAGGAGGGTGTGGTTTTCGGTAAAGGCCACTGCACCAGGTCCAGTCTGATGCCATCTGGAGCGCCCTTGGCTTGGCTGTGAGGGGACCCTTGGTGATTGTTTGGAGGGTCTAGGCCTGAGCCTGACCCGTGTCGGGGAAAGGTTTTCAGAGCCCGATGACCCTCCATCATACAGACGGAGGGGAGAGGCTAGCAGAGTGAGGGTGGCCAGGTCGGGGGAGCTGGACTCCTGACCACCGGAGGGTTAAAGGTGGGCTGCCCATGTGGCAGGAAGTTGGAGGGAGGGGAGTGAGTCCCTGAGGTAGCCTTGGGGAAGCAAGTGGGGGAGGGAGGGAGAACTGGAGGGGCCTTAGGAGCAGGAAAGGGGGGGCAGAGCTGGGTGGAGGAGGGGGCTGGGGTCCTGGCCGTGACCCAAGGTCTCCAAGTCCCAGAGGTGCTGCCAGGTCTCCCTGCGCGGGGCCCCCCTCCCTCAGCCTCGATGAGCGTGTGGATTCAGGGGCAGGTTGGTGAGGGCCGGGTGAGGGAACCGGGTGTCCTCCTACGGCACCACCTTCCCCCAAATCGAACCAGTCCTCTGAGAGCCAGTGAATTTTCTGTTCGCAGAGCCTGTGCATTCACACAGCCTTCCTTTTATAGCCACGCTCGTCTCTCCCCACACACACTGCACACGGCTCCCCCCGGGGGCGCACAACACATCTCGCAGGCGGGCCGTGGAGCGGAGCCAGCCCACTCCATGCCCAAGGACTCACAGCACCAGCCCCTTGGTGTCCAAAGTGCACATGCTGATGGTGGGACAGAGGGACCAGGCCAGAGAGGTTTGGGGCTGCGGGTGTGGTCACAGTACCAGAAGGCCGTGCCAGTTCTTGGAGACAACCTCCAGGGCTGGCTGAGGGCACCCCATCCAGGCTCCCTACTAGCCCAAGTCCATTCCACGGCCCCCAGAGTCTCCTCAAGTCAAGGGAAAGAAGGGTGGTCCTGGCTGTTCCTGGAGCGAGGGGGATGGATTATGCCTTGGTCCCCCAGAGTGTACATCTGGGTGTTTCGCAGCCCTGGGCAGCTGTTAAGAGTGTGCAGAAGTCAGCCCTGGGTTCAAATTCTAGCCTGGCTAGAAGCCAGCTATAGGCAGGTCACTCAACCTGCCTGGACCCGAGTCCCCCGGCCTGTAGAATGAGGATGCTAACAGGGTCCTGAAAAGAGAACAGACCAAGTACAGGAGGAGCTACCTCAGCACGCTGCTTGGCATGCAGTAAGCGCTCAATAACAGCTTTTATTAATACCATGGGCTCAGAGGCAGGGAGGAGTGAGAAAGCAAGGGGAGAGCCTGGGAGGGGGGGGGTTGCAGGAGGAACCAGGGGGAGGTGGCAGGAGGGCCAATGAGGGGTGGAGGTGGTGACAGAGGGAGGGGCGCGCTGACCTGAACTGGGGCCTGGGCTGGGGGCGGGAGGGAGCCTGTCTGCCCTCTCCCCCCCATGGAAGAAGCCTCGCATCCTGGACACAGCAGCCATCGTCGCTCTTCAGTCACTGTCTCCGGAGCAGGCCCCGCAGGTCATATTGGTATGCAGCGTCCACCTCATGGGCCCAGGAGAGCCCGCAGGCCCGGAGCCCGAGGAGGGGCTCAACACTTGGCGGGGGCGGGCGGCGGGGGAGTGAGGATGGCCAGAGGACAGGGGAGGGAGGGGAAGGGACACGGGGGTCCCCGAACCCGGGAGCGGACATGACACTCATGCTCGGCGGCAGGGCAGTAGCAGAGCCACCTACACGCTGGGGGCGGAGGGGCGGGCGTCCTCTTCCCACCCAGGCTTTAGAGTCGGGGGCCAGCCGGGCCGGTGAGTTACGGAGAGAGGACAGGGCGGGATAAAGGCACGAAGTGGGGCTCCGGCCTGGCCAGGAGGGAAGATGGGAGGGGTGTGAGGGGGGAGGGGTTGGACTTATCCTGACGCCCTCCCCCCTCGGGCTGCGGGCTCGGGGGCAGGATCCTGAGCGCGGTCCAGGCCCGGCGGCGCACCGTCGGATCGGCCCCGGGAGAGAGACCCCGCGGAGGGCCGGCCGAGGGCGCCGCACCGCTCAGACCAGCGCGTAGTCGAACTGCCCGCGCTCGAGCGCCTCCTTGTGGTCTGTCCAGGACGAGGCGGGCATGCGGCTGTAGGGGTCGAGCAGGATACGCACGCAGCGAACCATCAGCAGCACCAGCACCACGAGCAGGCACAGCACGAAGGCGAACACGGTGCGCTGCTCCGCGTCCAGGCCCGCGCCTACCGGGGGCCCCGTCGATGGCGGCAGCGGCTCGGGGGACAGCGTCCACGTCGCGCTCATGGCTCACATCGCCGCGCGCCCTGCGGAGGAGGGGGCCCGCCCGTGAGGCAGAGATGAAGCTGCGCCTTCCCGCGCCCCCGCGTCGTCCCCACCCGCCGCCCCCCCACACACCCTGCCGAGCCCCAGCCCCCGCCCGCGCCTTTGTCCCCTGGCTACGCCCATGCCTGGCCCGCGGGCACCCAACTCCGGGCGTGCGCGCAGGTGGGGACGCTAAGAGCAAGGAGAGGAAACCCCGACCCGGCCGGCCCGCGCACAACAGGTGCGAACGCGCGGCCCGGGCTGCGTGGTGGGGGGCGAGACCCGGTTCCCCCACCCCGCTCCCTTTGTTCTTGCGTCCTGGGGACCCCCCTCCCCCACCGCCCCCGCCCCCGCCCCGCCGCGCCCCTCACCCTGGCCTCGACCGGGACCGGGACCAAGCGGCCGGCAGCCGCGCTCTCTTCCGGGACCCGCACCCGCTCCTGGTCTCTCCCCGGTGGCCGCGGCGGCGGCCCGGACTCTGCCCACCCCACCCGCCCCTGGAGCGGCGGAGACCGAGGCAGGCGAGCTCCGCGCCAGCCGGGCCGCCGCGGCTGTTCCCATGGCGACGGGGGCGGGGCCGCCGCGGGGGGCGGAGGCTACGCAGGGAGCGGCGCTCGGGCCCGCGACCCCGCCCCGTCCTCCGGGAGAACCGGGCCCCGCCCAGAGGCGCCGGGGAGACCACCGGCCCCAAAGAACCATGAGCACCGAGGGCCTCGCCCTCCCACCCCCACAGGCACCCCCCCAAAACCACCCAGCCCGACTTAAGCTCCCACAGCCCCATTCTCCTCTGCAACCGACCCCTCAGACTCCCTGTTTGGGGGATCCCAGTGCCCCCAAAACTCATACAGGCGCTTAAGGTCCTCCAGCCTCGGGGACCCCAACCCTCAAGCAACCCCAGCCAGGTCACTAAAAACCTCCGTAGCTTTTCCAGTCTCCTTCCTCCCCCCCTCCCCCCGCCCGACAACATACTCAGGGTGGGCAGGGTCCCGTCCAGGTGAGTCCTCCCCCTCTTCTGTTAGAGTTCCTTCAGTGACCACGACCACCGCCCCATGACCACTGGGCTGCCCACTCCCAGTCCCAGCTCCCCCCACCCCAGTGACAGACACCTTGGACTACCTAGGTTGCTCTCCTGCACTTTGGTGTTTTATTATTTCCAAATCTCTGCATATGTATAGGATAATAATAAGGGCATTGTTAAAAAAAAAAAAAGGCTGAAACGGCCTGGCTGATGTGGCCAGTGGGCCCAGGCCGCACCACTGGGTCCTGGGAGGGTACCCCTGGGCTGGGGGCCTCTGGGCACTGCCCGTAGCCTGGGTGCCCACGGCCCAAGCAGCCCCCATGGGGCAGAGGGGCGGTGCTGGGGCTGGCGTTGTGCACAGCAGCCCCTCCCTTCCCCGCCGCATTCCGCTAGCCCTGCAGCAGTCCTGGCACGGCGGGGGCACAGCTGACAGTCTTGTCCCCAGAGGTCTAGTTGCTGCAGGTGGACACCAGTCCCCCGTGTGTCTGCAGTGACGATCCAGCCCCGAGGCCCCACTCGTGGCTGCTGCGCTCAGAGGACCTGCTCTGTGCTGGAGGCGGAGATGTCCAAGAGCCGCCAGGCCGCATAGGGGTTGAGCTCGCCCTGGTCTCGGCAGAGAGCCCACACGCACAGCATTCGCAGTACCTTGTCCTGCAGAATCGGGGAAGGGTGAGGGCTAAAGGCAGGGTGCGAGCCCGGCACCCACTCCAGGACGAGCGCAGGGCACGGAGAGAGACACTGCCAGCTCAGGGCACTGGGAGGGACCAGGGAGTGGTGCTGCGGGGTCTGGGGTCCAGAGCAGAGGCAGGAACAGAGGCTGTAACTCAGGACTTGGTCAAACTGGAGAGATCAGCTACCCTCCACCAGGCCCAGCTCGAGGTGCTGCCCTGCCACGCCGCAACTCCTGACTCTCAACTGGCCTCACTGCGTGTTCCCGCCCCATCCCCTCCCCCGCTCACTCACCGGGTCACCCTCGACCACCTCGCCTTTGGGATTCTTGATCACCATCACCAGCTGGGCCTGGAAGGTGATGATCAGCACAGGGCCCTGCTCCATCATCTTGCCCATGGCCAACTGCAGGGGCACGACAGGGCAGGCAGGCCTGAGAATGGTCCCCAGCCCCTTCGCTGCCGCTCCCCTCCAGGTGCAGACCCCTGCTTCAGCACTCCAGGGCTGCCACCTGCCACTGGCCCGTTTCCGGGCGGGCACTTCTCAATTGTGAGGAAGAACGTGAACCACTGAGGACCCACACAGGCTCCGCGGACTGAGGCTGTGCAGGCGTGTAATGGCCTCTCGGAGCCGGCTGTCTCGCGCACACGTGTGGTGGGTGTGCCTTCAGCTCCCCACGGGGAGGAAATCGAGGGGATCGTGGCAGAGCAGACCAGTGGGGGACCTGAGCAGTCCTGACAAAGCCTCCTCAGTGAAGGTGCAGGGATAGCCCTGGCTTCAGGGGCCTCAGGGGACCCTGGGTCTGGGCAACAGCACCCCCTGGGCCACCACTTGCCTGAGAATTCCCGACAGCAAGACTGTGGAAACCTTCCACTGAAAGGGACCCTGGAGGTCACTTAATCCAAGCACTGGAACTCCTCCAGGGAGGGGGAGCTCAACCCTCCCAGCTGAGCGCAATTCAGAGAAGCACCCCTGCCCACCCTGGGGTCCACCTGGGCCCCCGGAAGAGGCACTCACGTCGATGTTGTCGATGTCCAGGATGCGGGAGTGGAACTGGAGGCCCAGCGCCTTGGCCTGCTGGATCGGGTGGGCCAACTGGCTGTAGGTCTGCAACAAGAAGCCAGACACAACCGTATGGCCGCCCACCTGTGTGTGCGACCCAGGCCAAGGCACTGCACCGCAGGGGAGCCGGGGGCTGTTGCGGTGTCTCGGGAAGCTCCCTGTGGGCGAGCTCACCATGGGGTTTCAGGCTTTCAGCTCTTGTACCTTCCAGAAATGGCTCCCGGCTCCTGGGTGTGCGGCGCCAGGAGTGGCAGATGCCAGGAGCATGGGTCCAAGCAGGGAGGCCGGTGCCACCCGTTGGCTGGCTCGAATCACACACTGCCCTCTCATTATAAGGACAGCACCGTATCAACGTTATCGAAAGCGGTATTAATCAGTGAGTCTGGTTAGTTCTCCGGGAACGCGATCTGGAATACACTCCCAGAGGTAAGTCGAGGCCTCTCTGGCTGACCCTGAACATTCCCATGTTCACCTCACTGTGAATCTTGGCCTGGAACCAAACACTTTTTCTAGGATTCATCCTACCCCGCGGCTGCTCTGGGGTGAACTGCCTGGGTCTACTGCCTTGTCACTGACCAGCCCCTGTGGGCGGGTCTCGGCCACTGGCAGCCTCTTCCTCTTACGGGGGCAGTGGTGCCCCAAATGACACCCTAACCCTCTTGTGCCTGCTCCCAAGCCCGGGACACAGCAGCCAGCAGCTTTATATCTCAACAAGCAACCATGACAGAAGACATTCCAACAGCATTCACTCTTTATGGAAGTAACTGATCCACCAAGTGAAAAAAAAGCGCCCATCTTGTGTGGTTTCTTAAAGATGACACTTTCAAAACACCCCTGTGTGAGCGGCTGCAACTTCAGCTGCGCTTCCAGGGGCACCAGCAGCACCTTGCTGGCAAAGATAACCAGCTACATCCTAATGGTCCCAAAGGAAAAAAAAAAAACCAAAACAACAACAACAAAAACCAAACCACTCATAAATGCCCGCTGGATTAGTCACCGTGCAGGGGAGTATTTAACAAGGAAAGCTGACATCTTCTCCTCTGCTTTTTCAAGTTGTTTGTGAGCTGGGTACAGAATAAAATCAGCCAAGAGACTCTGGATTGCTCAGTAAGATGCTGGTGGGGGGGGGACGGGGGGAACAAATGCTGTGAAGACACAGGTCAGGGAGTGAGCAGGGTGGGGTGAGGTGGCCTGATGACGAGGACGGGGAGGCTGCCAGGAAGGGGCAGTGCAGACAGCATGCTCCCAAGGACGCCTGAGCTGCCGCCATGCAGCCCGGCGCGGCCTGTGGCCCGGGGCCCAGAGCCCGGACTCCAGGAAGCAGCCGGGCCTCGTCAGGACACGCGGCTCTTCCCGGGTGGGAATCTATCAATGTCTGTTTGGATGTGTTTGAGGATCTTGCAATGAGAACAGCTAATGAATACATCCAGCGCTGCATGTGCTGGAGCGCTGCCCTTGTGTCCCCAAAGCGTCCTCACGACCCCCATGAGATGAGCCCGATGATGTAACTCCGGCCCAGGGAAGGGAGGCTGTGGGGCCTCAAACCCCACTTGCCCGCCAGCACCCACCACCCCCGTGCACTGAGGGAACATCGAATGCACCCTCCGAGTTATCCGCCATCCCTTTCTGCCCACCCCCTGACCCCTGGGCCCCCAGCCTGTAGCCACCCCCGCCCCTGACATCTCAGCCCTTCTCAGACTGAGCCACCCAAGCAGATCTCCTCTGAACTGTGATTTCTTCTGAGGCCTGAATAGGGGGGGGAAGCAAGCGAGCACTTACAGCTTCATAGCACCAGTCTTTGAGAATGTCGAGCTCTCCAGAAATCATGGCCTAAAAAGGGAAAGACAAAAAAAAAAAAGTGTGAGAATGAGAGTGGGCTTTTGAGGCAGGTAAACTCTGGAGAATACTCTCCAGTTAGAACCTTTCCTCTGCAGACCCCCGGCCCCAGCCTCCGGGTCCTAGTCTGGGGAAGGGAGACTGGGCCAGGCTGCAGCAGTGGGAGCAGAGCCCCCGCAAGTGACAACGGGGCAGCCCAGGCTGGGTCCCAGCGGCCTGCTGGAAGGAAAAGGAAGGTGGCAGCGTTTCGGGCTCTCGCCCTGGCCGGGAAACCAACCCAAGGAGGCCAGGCAGGGCATTCTACCTCCCCTGGGGACGAAGAAGCCTTAGGCAGCCAGGTCCACGCGGGACGGGGCAGAGGGGGAGTGCAGGGGAGGGTTCCCAGGGTGCAATGAGAGAAGCTTCCACAGGAACCCAGAGACAGGGCTGGATCTGGTGAGGGAGAGGGTGGGTTTTGGGGGGAGTGGGGTGGTGAGATGCTGGTGGGAAACCACAGGGGATCTGGGGGCTGAGATAATCTCAGCCCAGAAGATTCTGCCCGTGCTTGGGCTGCTGCTTTGGGGAAATGCTACAGTTTCACCTCCTCCCAACCCTGCCGAGTGTCGTGAGGGATCTGGGAACTCGGAGGCGGGAGAGGGGGCCAGGCAGACGCGGTGCGGGAGGAAGGGACGGACATCCTCACGGGGCTGGACGGACTGCCTGCGGCCCCACTAAGGCCGCGCCAACAGCCCCTGGCTTGGCTGGGCTGCAGGATGCCGAGGCTCCAGCCCCAGCTTGGGGCGGGGGGGCCTCGAGGAGGGTGACCTTAAGCAGGTTGCCTCCTCCTTGTTTATGTGCCAAAAGGAGAGGCGAGAAGACCAGAAGATGAGCTTCAGGGTTCCCAGAGAGGAAAGGCCCCTGGGCTGCTGTGCTGGTCCCGCCTCCCTGCCCTGAGTCATGCGCTGCCCCCGCACCCTTGAAGCAGCAGCCGGCTTCTCCCAACTCCTGAAAGGCCCCTGGCCTCTGGGAGACAAACACCTGGCCCCTGGCAGCTTCAAGGGAACAACTTCAGGAAGAGAGCTCGAGGGAAACAAGCCACGGGGCTCCAGGCTCCAGTGGGTGAGAAACTCAGTCCCTGGGGCAGACACACCCTGTGGGCGAGGCAAGAATGGTCAGGGCACCGGCCCAGGGACCAGCGGGGGCTGCAGGAGACCACAGCAGCCTGGCTTTCTCGAGCTGCTCGACTAACAAGGGCTGGGCGTGTGGGGTGCTCAGGCCTCTGTCAACACTGGAGCCACCTCTCCGCTCAGAAGCCCTGTCCACAGCCAAGAGGCCCTGCCAGAACTCTCCACAGGGCCGCGGCCCTGCCAGCCGCACACCCACCTCCAGGACGTTGGGGATGATGTCGTTCTCACACTGCTGCAGAAAGCGGTCCTTGTCGAAGGCGGGGTCCACCCGCAGGATCTCCGTGAGCACCTCCGACATCTCCGTCTTCGAGAACAGGCCCCCTGGGGCAGCCGAGCCAGGAGTGGGGTGAGGGCCCGGGACCCCCTCCCACCGCCGGCTCGGGCTGTGGGGGGACGGTCCCGGGGCAGCCCACTCACCCAGCAAGTCTGTGACCTTGTCTGTCAGCAGGCGGGACGCCCGGATGAAAGCGTTGTCGCTTTCGTCATACTTCATCTTCATCTCGAAGAACCCTGTCGGGGGTGGCGGATGGGGTCATGGGCCCCTTCCGGAGAGACACACCCACTCCATCGCAGCCCCCTCCGAGCCTGCTGGCCGACCCTGGGAGGCTGCAGAGACCCCTCCGCCAGGGGCTGAGGGGAGGCGAGTGAACGCCGGGCGCCACCCCTGCTGGCTGCGGCTTTCGCTACTGAGGGAACACAGGCCTCTGGACATCCTCATTTGAGGAGGGCCAGGGCTCCCTGTCAGCGCCTGGGAAGCCACGTGCCCCAGACTGAGCAGAGAGCTCTGGGCCTTGAGCTGGCTCCTGGCCCGTGAGGGGGTGTGTCGAGGCCAAGTTCACATGGGGGGTGGCTGGCGCGTGCACCTGGCTGCCTCACAACGACACTGGCTCCAGCCAAGGTGGTGGCTCAGCCCTGACGGCGGTAGCCCGCCGCCCGAGAGGTACTGGGTGCTCCCCCTCAGGCCGCCTGAGGCCTGCGCTCCGCTGCTCACTCGCTGGGCAACCCTGTGGGAGTGACTGATCCTCTCTGACCCCGGCCTCCTCCTGTCTTGTGCCCGGCCCTCGGGGAGCACTTGGTAAGTGTCCGTCACCGGCCTGCTGTCAGGCAATTCTCTGAGATGGGAACACTCACGATTAAACACCACGTTGTTGTCCCTGAAGTCCTTCCACTGCTGATACCACTTGGAGTCCTTGTGCAGCACGACTCCCAGGGCCTCCCTGGGGAAGATCAGGGAAGCCAGTGAGCGCAGCCCGGGAGCCGCTCCGCTCATGGCAAGAGGGGGCAGCAGGACGGTGTGATGACCCCGGCCTCTTGCCTTCTCTTTCCCCCTTCCTGCCACCCTACCCTTCCCCTCCCGGTTCTCTCAGGGTGCCTGGGAACCTCGAGCAGAAAGAAACCCCACAAACTGACTTGGGTAGGAACCCTCTGTGGGTCCTGGGAAATGGACAGCAGTGCAGGTGCTGCAAAGGGAGGTGGTGAGAGGTGGGCCCCTTGGCAGGTCTGGTACCTACTCATTGGCCTCAAACACTTTCTCTTCCTTGAATTTCTCTCCCGAGAACTCTTTCCTTTTCCTGAGCCGCTCGGGCCGCCTGTAGGGCCCGGTCTGCCCCAGGACACTCTCGTCGATCTCCTTCTTGACGGACTCCACACCCTGCAGAGCACAGCCGGCCATGTGGGAGCTGGGGCTCCCCAACACCCCAGACCAGCAGCTGTGGACCCACCCCGGGGCCATGCCTCCCAGGTCTCAAGGTCACGTGACTCGCAGGTGCAGGGCAAGGACACGCCCAAGCCTCGGGGGGAGGCAGAGGGGAGACCCCAGCTCTGACTTCTGCCCCCACCTGCCCCCCGCCAAGAGCTGCCCCCAGATGACCCTCACATTCTGAGGCCGATTCCACACTCTCGCTGGAAACTTCCTTCACATGGACCAGAAACCGGACAGGCGTCCTGAGAGGCTGCCTCTGCCCCACCACCTCCATCCGAGCTGACCCAGCCTCTGGATCCCACCTCCGCAAACCTCTGGAGCCCATTTCCCTCCTGGCTCCATCACCCAAGACACTCTCCAGCCTCCTCTGAGTTGCTGCCGGAATCCTCACTGGGAGGCTGTGCTTTCAGGATGAACCTAAACTCCCCCGCACAGCCTCCAGGACCCTCTGATGTCCCTGCAGCCACTCTGGCCACACCTAGCTGCGTGGGGCGCCCCGAGCCGGTGATGCCCGCTCCCCTGGCCCGGCGCCTTCCCCGAGCGTTCCTGTCATGTGTTACTTGGAACTGCCTGCCCCTTCCCTGTCCCTATTCCTGTCCCAGGATCCTTTGAGAGCAAGAACTCGGACCTTCTCTCCTGAGGCCCCATGGCCAGTAGAGGGCCCAGCGTGTGGTAAGTGATATTTACGGAATGAATTCAGGACCTCAAGTGACCCAGAGCCCGACAGTCTCTGGATGTGAGCTAAGGGTGTCAGCAGCTGACATCGGGTTATGTGTAGCTCCCTAGGGGCTCTGACTTGCCCGAGGCTGCTCAGCCAGGAGGGGCTGAGGCCTGGTGTCCCTGCAGCCCTCGGTGAGGTCTCTCGGGGCTGAGCCCAGAGCGCCCGCGGGCACAAGCCCCAGCCCAGCTCACCTGGGAGAGGGCTTTGAAGGCGGCGGTCCTGCCAAGCTTCTCCCCACCTTTGGACACAGACTCAGCCGACTGCTTGGCGGTCTTGGCTGCTTCTTCCACACCCTCCTTGATTTTCCGGCCAAGGTCACTTTTACTGACTTCGTCAAGACTCTACTGAGACAGAGAAGAGGGAGGTGTTGGCGTGGCACCCGGTGGGGGCCTGCAGGAGCTCCCCCCGAGCTAACAGCAGACCCGGCCTCCAGAGGGCGGGAGCAGGTGTCCTGAGCCCATTCTGGCTCATGGAGCCGAGACTGGGGTGCACATGCCCCAGAAGGATGCCTACGATTTCTGGGGCGCTGGACCCTAGGGCTCCGGCCTGGAACACGCAGGAAGGACAGCACAGGAGCAGCAGCCCCGGGGTCAGGACACGAAGGGGAGGTAGGCGTGTCCAGCGCGCTGGGCTGGCCTCGAGGTAAAGCCCTGCCCCTCTCTCCAGCCCAGGAGAAGCAACAAAAAGAAAGTCTCCCAGGCCCTCTAGGAGTCTCACCCCGACCTCCACCCTCCTGGGGTGGGGGGCGGGGCGTGCAGGGTCCCAGCTTCCTTCTAGCCTAAGGCAGGGAGAAAAGCATCCTCCTTTCACCCTCCTGTTCTTGCTTGTAGTCCAGAGGCTTCTAACCTAAGTGGTGACTCGCAGGCCAGTGGCTTAGTCTGAGCTCTCCCTCCTTCCCAAAGGCATCCTGCACTTTGATTCCGGAAGCCTCCCGACCGGGCAGCCTCCCCCGCCTGCTCACCCCCGGCTGCCCCCAGCATTGCTCCCCGGCTCCTCCTCCAGAGGTGAGGAACAGATGGGCTCCGGGGGCCGTCAGGGGCCTTGGGGGTCCGGAGGCCATTACCTCCTTCACGGTGCCGGTGATCTCCCCCAGCTTCTTCCTGATCACCTCGCCCGTCCGCATGGTTTCTGATTCAATGGTTCTCTAGGGTAAAGGATGTTGGATCTTTGTGTTGCGACACACAGTCTAAAGAAGCGTTTTCTCAGAAGTCCCTTCCTTCCTCCCCAGACACACCCCGTTCTTCCACCCCCTCAGCCTGTCCACCCGGCCCCTCCCGGCCCCCCAGGGTCCCTGGCTGTAGGCTGGGACAGGGACCTCCTGAGCACAGGGCCCCAGGCCCCGCATCTGTCTCTGGGCGGCAGGGGGTGATCTTGCCCATATGCTCACCAGTGATATATTGGGGGCAGGGCGGGGCATTCTCAGCGTCATCCTGCCTGGCTCTGCCCCCTCCCCATCACCCGGCCCCAAGCTCGGCCTGCGCTGCCCCCAGACAGACACCTCGGCTCACTCCTCTTCCTTAATGAAAAGGAAGGGCGATCTCCCGCAGGGTCGGATCCCTCACAGGTAGTTACATACAAGTGAGTGACTTGGGGAGACTCAGGGGTACAGACGTCGCCCATGGCCTGGGAGGGGCGCCAACAGAACAAAACCCCCGAGGGGCCTGGGGCAAATGCCCACAACCCCAGGCTCAGCTGCCCACAGGTGAGATGGGGGTGCCGCCGGGCAGAGCCCTCAAGGGCAGACAAATAAAAGGAGCCAAGCCCATCCGCTGGCGGGCGCCTGGCAGCTGCTCCGTGAGAGACGGCGGCAGTGATTAATATAATGATTACACCAGCCCCGCAACTCACTTTCTACCCATTTCAGTCAGAGGCCCTCAGGAGCAGCGTATCTCAAACCTAGTGCCCGAGGGACCCGTGGAGATGCAGATTCTGATGCAGCAGGTCGAGAGGGTCTGAAACCCCGTCAGTGCTGCTGGGCCGTGTGTAGAGAAGGCTGCAGTCTCACGGCTGAACTGGAAGGCTGGGGGCCTGCTCCTGTCCCCTCACTCCCCGGCCGCCCCAGCACTGCACTGGGAGGGAACTCCTGGCTCTGAGAGCAGTGTGACTGCCCAGGGGGACTCAGAGCAAAGGGGACTCACGTATTTCCTCCTGGCTTCCTGGAGCGCATCGGACTCTTCCAGCTTCCGGGCCTCGTCTCGGAACTTTTTTATACTTTCTTTCATTTCTTTGTTTTTGGCTAATTCTTGTTTGATATTATCTAGCAAGCCGGAGAGAAAGCCTTTCCTGTTTCCGGAAGAATAGGATCTGGACTAGAAAGAATGTAAAAGGAACGAAGAATTTTTTCATTTTCTCCTTTCTGTTGATATAGGTTTAACAATGAATACAAGCTGCACGGCGTGGCCAAAAATACATAAATAAATAAAAAATTAAAAATAAATAAAAACAATATTTGGGAATTCCCTGGCAGTCCAGTGGTTAGGACTCTGCGCTTTCACTGCCGAGGGCCCGGGTTCAATCCCTGGTTGGGGCACTAGGATCCTGCAGGCTGCTGGTGTGGACAAAAACAACCACGAAAATGAAACAAAGCAAAACAAAAGGCAAAAAACCCCACAATGAATAGTTATCTCTTTTAGAAGAGATAACAGACAAAGTAAAAAGCCACCAGGCGGTAAACCGTGGGACAAGATATTCAGCAAGAAAAAGAAATGAGTTGGGCTTCCTGGTGGTGCAGTGGTTGGGAGTCTGCCTGCCGATGCAGGGGACACGGGTTCGTGCCCTGGTCCGGGAAGATCCCACATGCCGCGGAGCGGCTGGGCCCGTGAGCCATGGCCGCTGAGCCTGCGCGTCCGGAGCCTGTGCTCAGCAACGGGAGAGGCCACAGCGGTGAGAGGCCCGCGTACCGCAAAAAAAAAAAAAAAAAAAAAAAAAGAAAGAAAGAAAAAGAAATGAGTTATCAAGCCATGAAAAAAATACAGGAGTCACATGACATGTTATGTCAATTACATCGCAATAAAACAAGATGCGGAGGAACCTCAAGGGCATATCACTAAAGGAGAGAGGCCAATCTGCAAAGGCCACAGGCTGTAGGATTCCAACTCTAAGATCCTGGAAAAGGTGAAACTATGAAGACAAGGAAAAGGCCGGTGGTTGCCAGGGGCTGGAGGAGGGGAGGGAGGGTGGACAGACAGAGCACAGAGGATTTTCACCACAATGAAACTACTCTGTAACCATACTGTTAACGGTAGATACGTTATACATTTGTTCAAACCCATAAAATGTACAACACAGAGAGTGAACCCAATGTCAACCACAGACTAAAGTCAACAATAATGTGTCAATATTGGCTCATCAGTTTTAACAAATGTACCGCCCTAACTGCAAGATGTACAACCGGAGGAAAACTGCGTGCCGGGTGGGAGGAGAGGGGGACAGGAGGTTGATGGGCAGGCCCTGTACTTTCCACTCAATATCCCTGTAAAACTAAAACTGCTCAAAAAAATAAAGTCTATTAAAAAACAAAAGAAAATGCCAGGCCCTTCTCTCTCTGGGGTGAGAGACAGGCACAGCTTGGAATCCTCATGGGGCCTCACACACGCCCACCCAAGGAAAAGGCCAACACCCAAAGGGACCCTCGTCCCAGGACTTAGAGTTGAAAGGACTCTGTGGCCCCTTATCCCAAAAGAGCCGGCCCAGGCGCTACTCCAGGGGCTTCTGGGCCCAGGGTAACTTCTTCCTTTGGGGCCACTCCCGAGTCCCCAGCCGGGCCTTACATGTCACCCAAAGGCCTGGGGACTGGCACAAACCTCTGTCTCTTGGCCCACAGGATCACAGTCTCTGAGAGCCCGAGCTCAGCGTCCCCCCTCCAATCCCCACAGGAAAACCCAACCGCACACACCCAGAGGCCAGAAGACAGCCTGAGGCCCTGCTCCAGGCACCGCCCTACCCGAGACGCAGGCTTCTGGGTCAGACACAGCTGGCTGTAGATGCCTGCTTCGCCCCCTCCCCGTGTAACTACGTGCAGGCTCGGGAAAGAGAAAGCTTAGAGACTGACTGTGAGCCAGTAAGTCACAGGGAAATAGCCGCACGTGCTCAGCTGCTCCCACCACTCCTGCCGGTGTGCGGGGTCCGCTGCAGCGGCTGGGGGTTCACCCTACCAGTTTCAGGGGCGACTGCTTACCCGGTCCCTGTCCAGCCCCAGGGAGAGCAGCAGCAAGTCTGGCTGCTGCCCCACAGGTGTGGTGGCCTGGCCTGGCAACAGCAGGCTGCTGTCTGGTCCAGATGTGCCCTGACGAGCCTTGCTCCAGGGGAAGTCCAAGTTCTAAGACTGTCAGGGACTGCACCAGCTCGCGGCAGCCCCACGGCTCACTCCAGGGCTGCAAACTGGGGGTGAGGGCGGGGCTGGACAACTAAGGGGAAGCGCCAAAGGGCATGTCCCAAGCCCACAACAGCCCCAGGACAGGATCTGGGAGATAAAGCATGCTGAGGGTAGAGGATGAGATGAGACTCAGAAGGGAAGGGAGGGTGTGGGCTGCCTGAGCATGCGGATTTGGAGACTGTGAGATTTCAGGCTTTCTTCTCCATGGTGGTAAGGAACCAACAGAAACGTGGTTGAAGAGACATGACAGGGAGGGCAGAAAAGCTCTAGAAAATGCTCTCTGTGACGAACAACATAAAGAGGAAGGGAGATATGGCCTGGGGAAACCCAGCTCCAGGAGATGGATGGGTGACTCTGCTCAAATGCCCAGAGGGCTGTCACCCAGCAGAGGGCACAGCCTTGCTTAGTGAAGGACCCACACGTGGGAGCCACCGGGAGGTGGATTTCAGCTCGGTTAGAGGAATGCCCTTCTGGCCATCAGAACTGAGACACGCTACTTTGTGTGAGGCAGGAGCCCTACCCCTAACAGTGTCGAGCACTTCCCGGGATACCAAGAGGACCAGGCCCACTGGGCTCTGTAACTCCGGAAGACCTTGGATGTGGAATGCCTGCCAATCAGACACCCCCAGCAGTGTGGACAGCATCCTGCAGCCCTCTCTCCTGTCAACTAGGTCTGATTTTCACACCTTCCCCTCCTGCCGGCTTGCTTGTATCCTGAGTCACTCACCAGGGTCAGCTCTCCACTCGGCCGGGGCATCTGATAGGTACCATGGGGTAGTGGCACTAGGTTGTGGCCGGAGAGAAAACGGACTCCACCTCCAAGGCATCTCTAATTGAGGGAGAAAAGAGAAAGATGCATTTAGACTAGAGGGTGATGAGGAAGCAGGCCACGCTCAAAGAGCAAGGGTTGTCTGAGACTCATTTGACGATTTTTATCACATGTCTGCTCCATGCTAGATGCTTGACCATCTTCCCAAATTCTGAGAAGCCAGCGGAATCTGGTGGAAAGAGAAAACGCTCGATTTGCACCTCCGGGGCCCATATCTACCCTCCTGCCTCTGAACGTGGGGGAAACCGATGGGTCCTAGGAAATGCCAACCTATGGTGGAAGAAGACTAAATATGCCAGTCTAGCTGAACACCTTAGTCTGAAAATGGGCAGGCTAAGGCTCGATGCTGGTGGCAAGCAGTCTTCTCTCACCAGCCCACCCTACTTCTGCCAGCCTTGGAGGACCAGAGGCCCGGGCTTCAAGGGGTAAACACTGCTAACTTGTCCCAGGCACAACCCTGGAATAAAGCTACCATGTCCTGGTCCAGGGTTGAGATGTGAGCAGGGCAACTTAGGGGCGTCACCTGAGCAAAGATGCTGCCAGCCTCACGTGCAGCACCTCTTTGGTAAGCATTTCTTCTCCTACCAAATGATGAACTTAAAGCTCCATGAGGGAAGCTCCGTGCAGGTACTGTTCAACGCTACACCCTAGCACCCAGCACGGAGCGAGGTACACTGATGTCAATGACCTGATAGAACCACTCTTCCATTTCCACATCCCCTGGGCCCTTCCTCTCCCCATTCCATGCTTCCTGTCTCCAGTCACTCTAAGCAACACCCCGAACTTACACAGATGCCACACTCTCCTACAGCTACTCAAGAGTAACTCTTGGGAGTTTAACTAACTTGTTTTACTCCTCTGAATGCCTACACCCATTGATCCTGGAGCCACTGACTTCAGCAACAGCCTGAAACAGAAGCGGATGGTTGTCTCACTGAGGAGAAAAATCCCCCAGCAGGACCAAACCTGAGGGTGGTTCTCCTTAGGACGTGCCCAAATCCAAACACGTGTACATTCAACCTTTAAAACCTGCCTCAAAAGACAAGCAAGCCCAGGAAAAAAAGCTCAGTCCTGAGTCAAAAACACCTTCTTTGTCCTGACACTCAGATTCCTGGGAGATCTTTTCCTTCCTCCAGAGTCTGGCTCTGGCGTCAGACTGACCTGAGCTTTGGACCAGGTCAGCCACCCCACTAAACTCTTGAGACCGTGCGCGGCTTGCTTAACAATTCTGAGTTCCCAGCTTCCTACCCTGTGAAACAGCGACAAACAGCTGCAACGTGAGTACTATTTTCTGAAGCCGATTTACACGCCTTGACCCCCAGGGCATCTATGAGCCCAGGCTCTTAGCCAGGGCGACAACTACCTCCCACACTTTCAGAGGATTAAGAGGGGCGACGCAGGAAATGCTCCTAGCAGGGGGACGTGGCATATAAAGGTGAGCTGTGACTGTCACGGTTTTTTGCCTTTTCCTCGCTACTTTTTCTCCACTGAGCACCACGGACACCATTCACTCCTCGGTACACATGGGGTCAGCCAGGAAGTGAGGGGCGATCCGCTCCCGGCCCGGCACGCCCGGCCCCCGCCCTCCGGCCTTGCTTCGGGACCCACGTTCCGAGGCCTCGCTCCGGGGCCCCCGCCCCGGCCTCGGCTGACCCAGCGACCAAACTCCTAGCCTCTCGCCAAGCTCAGGGAAGAGCCGAAGGGGTCAAAAGCCTGGGGAGAACGAGGCCCTGGAGGTCACGGGTCCGGAGCTCCCTAAGCCCGCCCCCACGGCCCCGCACTCTGCTCACCCGCGGGCAGCGGCACCAGCATCCCCGCAGCGCCGCCGCCGCCGCCATGCTGGAAGATCCCGTGTGACCTTCTCGCGGCGTCATCCGATGGCGTCATCCGCCGCGTCGGCCTAGTGCGGCCTGGGCCTGGGAAAAGCGAGACCTGTGGGTGGGGTTTGTGGGAGGGAAAGGCCTATCACTGGACACGGCTCCCAAGGAGGGCGGCGCCGTGGAGGGAAATCCACTATGGGGGCGTGGCCTAATGGTGGGCGGGGATTCCGAGAGAGCTAGGCCTCTGATAGGGCAGAATTTCGGAAGAGCGGGGACTGTGACTGGATGTGACCTGGGGGGCGGGTACTCCTGTGAGGCAGAGACGTATGGTTGGATAAAACAGCGGGGGGGCGGAGCCTGAGGGTGTGGATTCTGTCGCGAGCTGTGATTCTCCGATTGGCAACTCGGGTTTCGCGTGGCCGGAAGAACGGGTAAACAGAACGACCCACACCGACGCACCAGCCCGAAAGCCACTGACTCTGGCTCTCACTGACAATGATGGACAGTGACCAACAGACGGGCAAGTGAGTTGCTTCACGAGCAAGGGCGAATGAGCCCACTTTTGTACAGCACTTTGGGAAGGCGCCTGTTGGTTTTGGTCCAGAAAAGGAACGGGAAGCTGAGACCTGGGTGGGGGTGGACTACTCCTCCCTCCATCGATTCATTGTGAATTGATACATCTGGCCCTGAAAAAGCTCAAGCCTCTGTCATGTCAGCACCCAGATACTATTTTCCATTTGGAGAATGCCGCCACCAAGTGACGGTACCTTGACATGGCCATGCAATCTGAGGCTGGGGAGGGGTGGTGGGCTGGTACCGCGGGGAGAGTTAATGTATGTTGCCTTTGCCCTATTGAAACCTTTTGCATTACTAAACTGTGATAAGGTCTATGGGACTTGAAAGGGAGGCAACATACATTCCCTGGCTTCAGGATTGGACAGATCTGCGTTTCCTGTAACTCAGGACCTCCACCTCGAGGTGACAGAAGGGATGAGGGCTTCCACTCGGCTTTGTTTGAAATGTCTTTACTGCAAGAGGAGCAAACTAGTTAAGAGGTTGGGATATACAGGTTTGTTGTTGAGAAAAAGGTCTGGGCTTCTTAGTTGTAGTTGAAACCGTGGAGTTGGACAAGGGCACCCAGGGGAAGTATGTCAGAGGGGCACATCAAAGCCCCATAGTCAAATGGAGGAAGAAGAGCCCTTAAAGGAGACTGGGAAGGACTGGTCAGCAGGTCAGAAGAGGACCTAGAGGGCCTTGGAAAAGGCAGGTAGAGTAAACAGTGCTAAATGTTGCAGAGAACTCAAGCAAGGCAGACCAGGCCAGAGCTCTATCTATCGTTCTTTTCATTTTGTAATATGGAGGAGGTCCCTGGGGAGACAGGCTGGAGGGTTTTGGTTGAATGGTGGCTGTGGAAGCCAGGTTTCAGTGGGCTGAGATTTTTTCTTTTTTTTTTACAGAGGTGTGCTGGAGCCAGCTTGTACTGCCTGGCAAGAGCCAACTATCAAATTTTCAGGAATTTTGGGGCCAGTTGTTAAACACAGCCATTATTTAAAAATTGATTGTATAAACTTACGATCAACTGGATTTTATTAAAACAAAGGTAATAACTACTCAAAACTCAGCACTTCTTAATTATGTTACTATCTATGCTACTGAGGTTATTTGCATATATCACATCTGTAGGCTGGAAATACCATATTATATGCGGTGCATCTCTTATGCATTTTGTCTTTAATGACACCACATTAATAGCCTGAAATTGGCCGTGGTGGGAGTATTTACTCCCATGGTGGGAGTATTTAGGAATTGACAAACACTACAGATCGGTCGCTTTCTGGTTTGTTTGGAGGGCCAGTTATTAAATGTTTAACCACCACATAGAGAGGGAGAACAGAGACGCCTCCAAGGAATCTTTGCCGTGCTTAGAAGGTGAAATGATGACAGCTGGAGGGACATATGGGGTAGAGTGAGGGTGGTTTGTGTTATTCCCACCTTTTTATTTTGAAAATTTTCAAAGCTACAAAAAAGTTGCGAGAATACTATAATGAACACTCACGTACCCTTCACCTAGATTCATTTTGCTACACTTGCTTCAGCATTCTTTCTCTATGTATATGCAAACAAACATATGTATGCAAACAAATATATATGTGTTGTCAAACTCAAGGTTGTGTGCCCAAGGAACAGCGAGGCAAACAAACCGAAACACTGGACTTTGGAGCAGAGAAAGGTTAATTAGTTGAAGAGGCACCAACCTGGAAGATGGGAGACGTAGACTCATCTCAAATCCATCTTGCTGGCTGGCTGTGGGCACAAGGTTTTTGTTTTTACTGAAGTATAGTTAATTTACAGTATTGTGGTACTTTCAGGTGTACAGCTAAGTGATTCAATTATATACATGTATGTATATGTGTAATGATTTAAAAAATTTTTTTCCATTATAGTTTGTTACAAGACATTGGAAATAGTTCCCTGTGCTATACAGTAGGTCCTTGCTGTTTATCTATTTTATATATAGTGGTGTGTATCTGTTAATCCCATACTCCCAATTTATCCCTCCCCCCCTTCCCCTTTAGTAAACATAAGTTTGTTTTCTATGTGTGTGAGTCTGTTTCTGTTTTGTAAATAAGTTCATTTGTACTATTTTTTAGATTCCACATATAAGTGACATCATATGGTATTTGCCTTTCTCTTTCTGACTTGCTTCACTTAGTAAACTTTTCTCTAGGCCCTTCCATGTTGCTGCAAATGGCATTATTTCATTCTTTTTTATGACTGAGTAATATTCCATTACTTATTATATATACCATTACGTATACCACATCTTCTTTATCCATTCGTCTGTTGGTGGGCACTTAGGTGGCCTCCGTGTCTTGGCTATTGTAAATAGTACTGCTCTGAACATTGAGGTGCATGTATCTTTTCAAATTAGAGCTTTTGTCTTTCCTGGATGTATGCCCAGGAGTGGGATTGCTGGATCATATGGCAACTCTATTTTTAGTTTTTTAAGGAACCTCTATACTGTTCTCCATAGTGGCTGCACCAATTTACATTCCCACCAAAGTGTAGGAGGGTTCCTTTTTCTCCACACCCTCTCCAGCATTTGTTATTTGTAGACTTTCTAACGATGGTCATTCTGACCAGTGTGAGGTGGTACCTCATTGTAGTTTTGATTTCCACTTCTCTAATAATTAGCGATGTTGAGCATCTTTTCATGTGCCTGTTGGCCATCTATTTGTCTTCTTTGGAGAAATGTCTGTTTAGGTCTTCTTAAAGGCAAAAAAAAGGTAAAAGGGAAGGGGTCTTTGTGATTTCAGCTCCCTGATAAGACCTCAGTTGCAGACGTACCAGCTTCGTCTTGTGACTTGGTGTGTCATTGGTGATTGTGATCGATCTACATGTTCCTGCAAAGCATACTAGTAAATCATGGTCTGTTGTTGAAGCCACCAGTGGGTGTGGTGTTTTGTTATAGCTGCCCTAGCTGACTAAGACAAGTCTGTTCTCCCGGATCAGTAGACTAACCCCAGGCTGCCTGGAAACCTTCCCAATGCCGTCCAGTGAGTGTGTGTTACAGTGGGCTGGGCACAGTCAACAGCAAGGCCAGGAGTGGGACATGGACCAAGGCAATGGGGAGTGTGTGCATGGCAGTGTGTGCATGGTGTCCCCGGAAGGGCAAGATCTGGGGCTAAGATGATCACAGAAAGACTCTTTGTATTATTCATCTACTGCTCTGCAACAAATTACCCAAAATGTAACGGCTTAACAGAGAGTAGGATGGTGGTTGCCAGGGATTGGGGGTAGATACACAAGATGCGTGAATTCTAGAGCTCTCTCATACAGCCAGCTTGGTGCCTACAGTTAATAGTCTTGTACTGTGCACTTAAAACATTTCTTAAGAGGGTAGATCTCAGTAAGACAGAGAAAGAGAGATATCCTATGATATCACTTATATGCAGAATCTAAAAAAAAGTGATACAAATGAACTTATTTACAAAACAGAAACAGACTCACAGACTTAGAGAACGAACTTGTGGTTACTAGCGGGGAAGGGTGGGGGGCAGGGATAGATAGCGAGTTTGGGATTGACACACAAAAAAATTGTAAATCACTATATTGTACACCTGTAACTTATATGATATTGTACGTCAACTATACATCAATCAAAAAGAAAGTGAAAAAAAAGAGGGTAGATCTCATCCTCCCCACGCCCCTCAAAACAAACAAACAAACAAAAAGCCACACACAAAACACAAAACAAAGGGATACATAGAAAACTTTGGAAATGATGGACGTGCTCATCACCTCGATGGTGGCGACGGGGTCTGTGTGCAGATGCCCCAACTCATCAAATTGTATACACTGAATGTGTGCAGCTTGTGTATATCAATGGTACCTCAATAACGCTGTGTGTCCTCACATGGTGGAAGGGGCAAGGGATCTCTCTGGGGCCTCTTTTATAAAGGTACTGGGGCACTTTGATGAGAAGCATCCGGAAGTTTGCCCCGCTAGGCCCAACTGGGGGAAGGTTCTGCTCCAAGGTCACTCACGTGGCTGTTGGCAGGATTCAGTCCCTTGCTGGCTGATGGATGAAGGGCCTCCGCTTCCCACTGACTGTTGCCTGGTGACCCTCTTCTGTTTCTGCTTCCATTATGGCGGTTGGCTCCCATCCGAGGGTGCAAGAGAGGGCCAGCAAGACAGTCTTTTGTAACCAAATCTTGGCTGTGACATCCCACCACATTTGTCATATTCTGTTAGTTAAAAGGGACTCACTAGGTCCTGCCCACCCTCAAGGGGACAGGATCAGACCAGAGCGTGAATATAGGAGGTAGGGGGTCCTGGAGGCTATGTTAGAGGCTGCCCCCCACCTACGCTCTTTGTAAGTGTTAGAGCAATTTGATTCTATGGCCTGGGGAGGCCAAGATTGAGGGCTGACTCAAACGTTATTTGTTACAGTTGTACCAAACAGAACCTGGGGCAGAAAAAGGACATTAGGGGAAATCTGAGAAAATCTGAATAAAGTATGGACTTCCGTTCATTATAATGTATCGGTATCAGTTCCTTAATTGTAACAAATGTCTCCTACCAGTCTAAGATATTGCTAATAGGGGAAATGGTGTCTGTGTCATTATTTTTAATGAATAGATGCATAATTTTAATGTATTTGCTTACTAGTCTCAATATAGGCATTAACGTAAAAAAAATAATTAGGGACCATTCTTCGTTTTCTGTTGGGTTTTTTTTTTGGAACATAAAACTTTGTTTTTTAGAGTTTTAGGCTCATAGCAAAATTGGGCAGAAAGTCCAGGGAGTTCCCATATAATCCCTGCCCCCCAGCCGCCCCACACAGCCTCCCCGCCGCTGTCAACATTGGCACCAGAGTGGTGCCTTTGTAACAATCAATGAACCTGCACTGACATATCATCGCCACCCAGAGTCCATGGTTTACACTAGGGTTCACTCTTGGTGTTGAACATTCTATGGGTTTGGACAAATGAACAATGACCTGTATCCACCATCACGGTATCAGACAATAATTTCATTGTCCTAAAACTCCTCTGGGCTCTGCCTATTCATCCCTCCCTGCCCCATAACCCCTGGAAACCACTGATCTTTTTACTGTCTCCATAGGTTTGCCTCTTCCAGAATGTCATAGAGTTGGAATCATACATCATGTAGCCTTTCCTGATGGGCTTCTTTCACTTAGTCACGTGCATTTTAAGTTTCCTCCATGTTTTCATGGCTGGGTAGGTCATTTCTTTTGAGTGCTGTCCAGATATACCACAGTTTATTTAGCCACTCACCTGCTGAAGGACGTCTTGGTTGGTAATTTTGAATAAAGCTGCCGTAAACATCCACGTGCAGGTTTTTGCGCGCTGGTAAGTTTTAACCTCGTTTGGAAAAATCCCAACAGGGGCAACTGCTGGATCAATTACTTGTTTTTTATGCACTCAGTAGGATGAAATTCAGTTCTCGCCGCAATGAATGCCTCTGTCAATGTCTTCTAGTCCTAACATTTTTTTTCCATTTTATTATTGTATGTTACGAAGGCTCTAGGTTTAATAATGCCACAGCTCCAATTTTACGGTAACGGTAATCATTATGTAATCAGGTTCTTAATATTTTTGACCTCATTGATATTTTTTTCTGAAATTAATATCACTGATCAAATAACCCTTAGAACAATAATAGCTACGATTTGTAGAGCTCTTCCTGGGCTAGGCAGGGTGCCAAGTGCTTCACACATAGGGAGGCCCTCTGTGGCTGGAAGGAGCCTGAGTGTGGGGGGGGGGACGGGCATCTAACCCTGCAGCTGGGCCTCATGGGCAGAACTGAACCGTCCCTCCAGCCTCAGACTGGGATGCAGGCACTCCGTTATTAAGAGGAATCTGTTGTCTCCAACCTTCCTGCTCCCCTTCTCCCAACGACCCCCTCACCAGCTGTTATAGGCTGAGTGGTGTCCCTCCAAAGTCATGTATTGAAGTCCTAACCCCAGGACCTCAGGATGTGTGTTTGGAGGGAGGGCCTTTGAGGTGGTAATTACGGTAAAATGAGGTCACTGGGGTGGGACCTAAGCCAGTATGACTGGTGTCCGTATAAGAAGAGGAGATTAGGACTCAGACACACACAGAGGGACGACCACGTAAAGACACAGGGAGAGGACAGCTGTCTGCAAGGCTAGCAGAGATGCCTCAGGAGAAACCAACCCTACAGACACCTTGACTGTGGACTTGCAGCTTCCAAAACGGCGAGAAGATTAATTTCTGTTGTGTAAGCTGCCCAGACTGTGGTCCTCTGTTAGGGCAGCCCATGCAAACTCAGACAACAGATCCTCTACCTCTCCCCTCAGGCTCAGAGCCCCTGCGCACATCCAGCTTCTGCTGCCCACGGGCCTCCGCCATCTGTCTCACTTCTGTCTGGCCTCCTTCCCACTTCTGCTGCCCCCTCTACCCAGCTGACTCTCTCCTCCTTCTCCTGTTCCCCTTCCTCAGGAATAATAATAGCTGCTGGCACTGGCTGTGTGCCTTCCCTGTTCCAGACGGCGCGCTAGGCCCCAGGAAGCGGTGTCTCATTTAGCACCAGCCCACCAGCCTTCAAGGCGGATGCTATCATTAGCGCTCTCGTACAGACCGGCACCCAAAGCTTGCAGAGGGAAAGGAAGCTGCCCGTACTGACCACGTCAACAAAGAGAATCTAGCTGGCCCGGTTAGGGCAGAGCCTCGGACCCAGGTCACAGCATAGACCCCTGGCCCCGTCGGCTGTGCCCAGACCAGGTGATGTGAAAGCAAGGGCCGTCTGTAAGACAGGCTTTGAATCCTCCTTCATATCTGTGAAGCTGGTGGCATCATTCCCTTTCCTGGCAAGGAAGCAAAGGCCTCCAGAAGTTAAGCCACTCAAGTGCTAGGACGGGGAAATCGAAGGCGTTTGAAAGAAGCCATAAAGGGCAGCTAGACTAGAAGGCTTGCTGTGGGGACGGCACCAGCAGGGGATGAGGACAGATTGGGGAAATATCAGGGGGAGCAAAAGAGCTTGGCCGGAGAGACTAGGCAGGGACAAGATCACGAGGGTCGCCTAAGCCAGGAGCTCCGGGGAGTTTTAAATGGGGCGTGGCGGGGTGTTGTGTGAGCCATACGGTCGGTTCTGTTTTGTGGAAAGATTCCCCCTCTGGCTCCAGTGAGGAGGCCACTGTGGTCGCTAGGAGATCACAGTGTCCCAAACGAAGGGGACGTGGCAGGTGGGCCTGCTGAGCAGCCAGGAGTCAGGGCGCTCAGGACTCAGGGACAAGGAAACCTTTTATGGTGCAGGTCGGTGGCACACCTGGTTGTCAACCTCCAGGCGCGGCCGTGGTGCAGTGCCCTTGGCCATCGCAGGCGGGCGATCGGGAGGGGCTTCTAGCATCTCCAGTGGCCCTTGAGGACACTCTCTCTCTCTGGAACCTCATCTCTCTTCTCACAATTATTTGCGCTTATTAGAGTCTATGGAGGGTGTGGGTGGAACAGTCAGGCAGCAGATGCAGGGCTTCTAAGGCGATCAGGCCTTTCAAAGAACCAGGCCTGACCTCTTAGCAGGGCTGACCTACCTATTAGTTGCCTAGGGCCCACGACACTTTGGGGGCCCTTGCAAATGTTTCACTTTTTTTTTTTTTAATAAGAAGGGAAATATATATAATCTGGCTGGAATTATAGTCATCTTTATGCCAACTTAGTTGTAAAATATAATTTAAAATTTTTTTTCTTTTTTTCGTGAAGGATGGGACCCATGAAGGCAAAAGTGCCTGGGACCCATGAAAGTCACAGTGGGGTATGATTTTAGCTTACTTCTTTGGCCTTATCATGCTAAGGTCTGTCTCTTCAGTCTTGGGTGCCATTATCAACTCCTTTGTTACCATGACCCAGGAAGGGGAGGTGGGGAGGGAAGAGAGAAAAAAAATAAACAGTGGGACCAAAGGGGTATTGGCACACCCATGTTCATAGCAGCATTATTCATCATAACCCAAAGGTGGAAGCAATGTAGGTGTCCACTGATGAATGAATGGAAAAACGAAATGTGGTCCATCCATACGATGGAATGTTATTCAGCCTTAAAAAGGAATGAAGTTCTTTTCTCTTTCCTTTTCTTTCTTTCTTTCTTTCTTTTTTTTTTTTTCTGGCCATGTGGATTGCAGGATCTTAGTTCCCTGACCAGGGATGAACCCGGGCCCTGGCAGTGAAAGCACTGAGCCCTAACCACTGGACCGCCAGGGAAGTCCCAGGAATGAAGTTCTGATACATGCTACAGCATGGATGAATCTGAAAACATTTGTTAAATAAGCCTACGGTTTCTGAAATGCACGAAACTCTACACGTAAAGAGCCATTCTCCTCTCAGCATTTGGGTGGGCTTAAAACACAGATCTGGTGGCCTCGCCTCCCCTTCCCCACTTAAAATACAGCATAGACCTACAGTTGGCTTGAATGTGCAGAGTTTTTCAGGAGGGAAACACACAGGCAGCTCGAGAGAGGAAAGCCAGGTGGCTGGGAAACCAGAGGGAGGGGGAGCTTTCCTTCACTCATCTTTGGACCTTGTATGCTTTGCACAGTGGACATTACTTATTAAGAATAAACACAGGGTTCCAAAGAAGACATACAGGTGGCCAATAGGCACATGAAAAGCTGCTCATCATCATTAATTATTAGAGAAATGCAAATCAAAACTACAATGAGGTACCAGCTCACACCTGTCAGAGTGGCCATCATTAAAAAGTCTACAAATAACAGATGCTGGAGAGGGTGTGGAGAAAAGGGAACCCTCCTTCCTATGCTGCTGGTGGGAATGTAGTAAACTGGTGCAGCCACTGTGGAAAACAGTGTGGAGGTTCCTCAAAAAACTAAAAATAGAGTTGCCATATGACCCAGCAATCCCACTCCTGGGCATATACCCAGACAAAACTATAATTTGAAAAGATACATGCACCCCAATGTTCCTGGCAGCACTATTTACAATAGCCAAGATATGGAAACAATCTAAATGTCCATCGACAGATGAATGGATAAAGAAGATGTGGCGCTTATACAATGGAATATTACTCAGCCAGTAAGAAGAATGAAATAATGCCATTTGCAGCAACATGGCTGGACCTAGAGATTATCATACTAAGCGAAGTAAGTCAGAAAGAGAAAGACAAATACCATATGATGTAATTTATATGTGGAATCAAAAATATGACACAAGTGAACATATTTACAAAACAGAAACAGACTCACAGATATAGAGAACAGACTTGTGGTTGCAAAGGGGGAGGGGGAGTGGGGGAGGGAAGTATTGGGAGTTTGGGATTAGCAGATACAAACTATTATGTGTAGGATACATAAACAACAAGGTCCTACTGTACAGCCTAGGAAACTATATTCAATATCCTGTGATAAACCATAATGGAAAAGAATATGAAACAGAATATATGTATGAATACCTGAATCTCTTTGCCGTACAGCAGATATTAACACAACGTTGTAAGTCAACTATACTTCAGTAAATTTAGAAAAAAAGAATATACACAGGAAATGGCGAGTTAGTGATTAATGGGGACAGAGTTTCAGTTTGGGGTGATGAGGAAATTCTGGAGATGGAGGGTGGGGATGGTTGCCCAATAAAGTGAATGTACTGAATGCCACTGAACTGGACACTTAAAAATAGTTTAAATGGAATCTAAAAAGTGACACATAGTTACAGAACAGAAATAGACTCACAGACATAGAAAACTTATGGTTACCAAAGGGTAAAGGTGGGGAGGGATAAATTAGGAGTTGGTGGCCAGGGTTGGTCAGGAGGTGGGGGGTGGAAGGTGGGGCTGGCGGGGAGCGTGTGCAGCAGCCTTTATTGTGGTTTCCATGGGGAGAAATGGGCAAGGAAGCGTAGGCAGGCTTACGCTTGGCTAATTTGAATAACTTCAGCAGGCTCTGGGTGTAGGGGCTGGCCCTAGTTGTCTGGCACCTGGTGCTGGGGTGATCAGGGCAGAGGAATATTACCTCCTGGAGTGTGAAAGCCTGATAAAGGAGGTGGTTGCCGCTATCGTCTCTGGACTGGTGGATTTGTCCACCAACACAAAAGGTGCACTTGTTGGTAAGTTGCTTACTCTCTCTAGGAATTAGCTAGCCCTGGGAGTCTCTCCCAGATCACCAAGGCCCCAAGATGTCAAATCATCAGAATACAGAAAATAAAGGACACAGTTAATATGCAAGGAACAGGAGTAGCGTTGCCAAAGGACAAAGACAGGAAGGCTGGAGCAGGACTGAGGGCAGGTTCTATGACATGGGTGATGTGGGAGGCTGGGATCATCAAAGCTGAGACTTCCCCCATCCCTCCCAGGCCCTCTGCCTTTGAGCCTTCTGTGGAACAGAGGAGCTGAGGGGATTGCCGGGACCAAGCTTGGGGTCCAGGCTGACAATGCCGGCACCACCAGGGGTCTGTCTTCTTCTGGCTTTGCTTACGGCTTCTGGCAGGTGCAGCTGTGTCTATGGACGGAGTCGTCCCAGGAGCCCTGCCCCACTGCCCTTGGATTCCTCCTGCCTGGCTCCGCCAATGGCTTCTCCGTCCTCCTCCCTACTCTGACCCCTCCTGATTGGATGAAATCCCCGCCAGTTGCTTGAGCCCCCTCTAGATTGGGCCCCTCTGCTGTTCCTTCTTGAGGCTCACTGTTCTTCTCTAACAATGTATAGTGAAGCATCAGGTTGTGGTTGTGCTTCTTTTTAAATTGCCCACCTCTTGTGAAGCAATGTGTGGTTCTGCTGTATGTGGCCAACACACAGCTGGGAAAGTGCCAAGCGACTTCTAAGATTGGCTTCGACCCTGGGCAAGGAGAAAGGTTAGCTGAGGATGCGCTTGGAGGTCGCAACAATATCAAACGGCTTCCCGCATTTCTAGACACCCCTGCTCCGGTCCTGTACTTGTTTGCTGTGCTCAGCCTTGACCAGCGTAGCACATGCTCAGTGCGGACAGGGACTGTCCTTTTGGGCTCATCTCTGTACTCTCAGAACCAGTGCGTTGTAGGTTGTTATGGGTTGGATTATGTCTCCCCAAATTCATGTGTTGGAGTCATAACCCCCAGGCTCTCAGAATGTGACCGTATTGGGAAATAGGTTCATTGCAGACGTAATTCATAAAGATGAGGTCATACTGGACCCCAAATCCGATAGGACTGGTGGCCTTATTTGGACACAGACGTGCACACAGGGAGAATTCCATGTGAAGGTGAAGGCATAAATTGGAGTCAGGCTACCAGAAGCCAAGGAATGCCAAAGATTGCCAGAAACCATGGAAGCTAGGAGAGAGAGATTCCCCCTCACAGCCCTCAGAAGGAGCCAACTCTGCTGACACCTTGATCTTGGACTTCTAGTTTCTAGGACTGTGAGAAGTTTTTCTGTTGTTTAAGCCACCCTAGCAAACTAAGACACGTCTTTAGTTAATGCCTGTTGCACGCTAATATCTGTGCATGAATAGACTTAATATTCCCTATGTGAGCTGACCGATTTGGAGTGCCAAATGGGGTCCCCACATGGGCTGAGCACGCATGATTGGGTCAGCTGATCCACCACGAATGTCAAACTCTTGGCAGTGGAAAGCCCTAAGGTGATTTTTGTTTTTTTAATTGAGATAAAATTCCGGTATCAGAAATTTCTATTTTATTCTATTTTGTCTTATTTTATTTGCTGTGCTGTGCGGCTTGCAGGATCTTAGCTCCCCGACTAGGGATTGAACCCATGCCCTCAGCAGTGAAAGCACAGAGTCCTAACCACTGGACTGCTAGGGAATTCCCAGAAAATTCACCATTTTAAACTAAACAGTTCAGTGGACTTCCCTACACTCACAAGGTTGTGCAACCACCACCTCCATCTTGTTCCAAAACATTTGCTTCACCCCAGAAGGAAACCCTGTGTCCATTAAGCAGCAGCTCTCGTTCCCTCCTCCCCCAGCCTCTGGAAATAACTGATCTACTTTCTGTGGATCTGCCTGTTCCGGACATTTCACATCAAGAGAATCATATAATGTGTGGCCTTTTGTGTCTGGCTTCTTTCACTGAGCATCACGTTCTCTGACTTCATCCATGTTGTAGTGTGTCTGTCCGTGTTTCATTCCTTTTTACGGCTGAATGATACTCCACTGTATGGATGGACCACACTGTGTTTATGTTCGTGTGTTGATGGCCCACCTGCCTTAAAATGTTCTACCCAGTGAATATGTGAGGACTGAAAAAAAGAATGACTGGAAGGATAGAGGTTGAGGACAGGTGAGCTGTGGGGACAGAGGCACAGGTGGCCCAGGCCCTGCCGCCCTCCCTCAGGGCCAGGAGTCCAGTGGGGACTCCTAGGTCAGCCAGGGGAGCATGGGAGAGGGGGGATGTGGGGTAGGTGATGGGGGGAGGGGAGCAAACTTCGTCCTCGCTCAGAGCCGCGCCTGACCTGCTCCCCTCTCTAGGTGACTGTGGCCGAGGCCCCCCCTTGGGGTCCTTCGGTTGGGACCCCAGCAGGGGCAGTCCTCCACCTGCAACACCCAGACCTTGTCAGGAGGGAAGCCAAAATTCTGCCCTTGGGACCCGATCACCACCCAGCTTGCTTCTCTGCCAGCAAACGCACTGTGGATTTTCATACAGAGAGACCTGGGCTGCATCTGTCCAGGTGCTGAAAACACCAGCTGTGGGGAGCAGGTGTCTCCCCACCTGGGCACCGAGGGCGACATCGTCTTGGCAGCACTGAGAGGTCTGCTGGCTGCACCAGAGGGGGATGCAAGACGCAGCCAACTGGGGCAACGTCTGGTCCCCGGGCTGGTCCGTGCTCAGTTTCATGCTCTGCTGTTGCCACCCTGAAATTCTTAATACATCTTAAAAAACTTTATTTTAAAGTGTGGTAAAATACAAATAACATAAAATGCATCATTTGTAAACGTGTTCAGCTCAGCAGCATCGAGCACATTCACACTGTCGTGCAACCATCCCCACCATCCGTCT